ATTCACCAGTCTATTATATCCTACTTATATCCCAATTATCCAATACTCAATGATATTCATGATATTCCAATAATATATCCCAATTATATCCCAATAATATCCCTTTTTCTCACTGTTGGTTGGTAAACTTTGGTTAGCATCCACCATAATCCAATTACTAAGTCAAGGCACGTTTGAACCGTTTGATGGTTTCCCCGAGGTAGGTGACCATCAGACCGTTCCAAACTCTTCTTGCTTGAGTTTAAGGTCAATATCCACCATTCACATCTATACCCCAATATTAATATACGTCCAATAAAAGACATCACGATCAGGTTGTTATAATCTATCCAATGTGGATTATTCACTGTTTAGATCCCATCAAATCCATACTTTATGGCTGGTCAAATCCACATAGTGAGTGGTCAAATGATGCTACTTCCACATGTTTATCATTGTTTCGTAGGTCAACTATGATCAAATGTTAAACATTGTAATCTTAATTCGTTAAACGCCATTTCGGCTAGTTAAGCCCTGATATTGTCTAGCCTTATCATACCTATACAACTCACCGGTTCCAACGACACGCACCTTGGTGATAATCCTGGGGCGGTTGGTCTTTTCAGCCACCTTCTCCAGCATTTGAATCAGTGCCTCAGGGACGGTGACGGCAATGCCACTGAAAAAACATGTGTGGCAACTCACTCTATCCTTTTTGGGCGCGTTTTGAAGAGCTTATCTAACTGGATTTCGACCCGTGCCAACTTCTTGTTGCAGAGTTTGTTGTGGATTTTGGAGCTATAAAGCTTCAAAATGTCGATGTTTTGACAACATGGATCCCATGGAAAAAAAACCATCGGAATTGGTCGAGTCTTGGGACCCAATGGACAAATGCACAAACGGGTGCCCGTTTGGTTCCCACATTTGTGATGCTATCACCGATGTATATAAATTCCGATAGAAAAGATCAAATAACATTACATAACGAGCCCGAGTGACCCAGATAGGAACAGAAACAACGTTCGACCAGTGAATAAGTAAGAATCATAATTCACCTTAACCCAGGTCCCAGCACATATGTGATGGTCAGCCCTGGAAATCATTCCTTTCCACGGTGCGTGCGCGGCTGCAAACGGTCACCCAGACGTGCCACCAGTGACAGGTCCAAGCCAAACCTGGTGGAGATGGTCCATCTAGGGATGGTTTATATCATCCATCTATAGTGATCTCTTGGGGCTGTTGAAAATTCATGACATTGGATTTGGCAGGTCATGGGCACCAACCTCGTCAATATATCATGGTGATTAGATGGTCATATTAGTTAGAAGTTGTTAGTACCATTCGTCGTAATGATTGTTAAAGACGATAGTAGTTATTAGAGTTAATATGGTTAACCACAATCCTCGAATGTGACGGATTAGATACCTAGCAAACCGACTGCATCATCTACAAATGGGCAACTTCAATCAGCTAAAGCATCTAACTGCTAGCTACTCACGAAATTTGGGTTCCCTTTTTTATATCAAAAAAATGGAACCCAATTTGTGTCGATAAAAGCCATAAATTGCATCTCCGATTTTTTTTTTGGATGCTGGTTTTGGACGATGGTGATTGAGAATAAGGTCTTGAACATAGTGCATTGAACATGGTGAACTTTTTACGGTATTTGATAGTCATAAAACGATGTCAACTATATAGCTCATAAGTAGTCAGCACGATACATGATTATTTGTAGCTTCGAGTAGACCAGTAACCATTACCATCACCAACAATCAGTTCTCATCAATAATTGAGCAGCCCTAGCCCTCTCCTCGAAACGGACACCCACCAGAGGAGCTAAGTCATAGGCTTCTCGTTTGCCGTCGTATCCGGAAAGCATCACCCCAGCGTCGTTCAGGACATATCCACCGACCTTAAGTTCCATGACAGTGGCTACGGTGGCTACGTCCTAAAATCAGGATCTGATTGGTGAAGGGAAGTTGGCAACATTAATAGAGACAGTGATCCCCAGAATGTGAATCTATAAAAATCAAATGTATTCAAATGTTACAAACATTGTATAATCATGTATAATATATTCATACTGATCCCCAATATCTTTGTGATCCGACAAATCTATATACAAGTGATGATTCCTTCCTATGTTTGATATTTATTGGCCCAGAAATCCAAACAAACAATCTTTATTGCCGGATGAAATGGGGGCCAAGCTGGTCTGATTCGCGAGAAAGGACACTGAGTAACTGCGTATCTGCGTATCCGTCAAAATTATCCCTAAAATAGTTGATGGTAGGCACCATCCAAAATGATCAAAAGATACCAAGTTGGTGTCCATTCGCACCTCAATCGTAACCCATTCCTGGTACCATGACTGCCATTCCAAGGAGCTGTAGGTGGCAGACACTCCAGGGCCAGAGAACAACAACTCCAAGGATTCGGCTGTTGTCGCCCTTAGAACCTGATCCCGGCTGTGGCTCCATCAATCCCAGTGGATATATGATGATATATGTTCCTATTGTTTATAAGATGGTGAGAAATATGTGTTCAGATGTTTCAAAATGTTTGGTTTGTATATAATCACCAAAGATTTCAGATCTCACCCAGGAATGACTGGAAAGGTCTGAAACATCTCAGTTTCTGCCCGTGTGAAAGGAGGGCCACTGATTTAAGGATCTGGGCCTCTGGGGTATCCCCCAATAGCCTTCTTGTCTGATAAACGAGCGGATTGAAAGATGTTTCCCCCAAATTCTCAGACAAGAAGCTGCCAAAGAGACATAGCGAAGAGGTTTCGAGACCATTCTCGCTTTCCGCAGTCATGAGACTCTCACGGACAAAGCTTTACAAGAGTGTCTGTGCCCGTTTTCATGTTTTAGTGGCTATAGAGCATCATTGAGTAGCATAATTTGTCCACATTTTTTTCAAATACACGAAGTCCAAGCTAAGTGAATAGTTGATGTGGAAAATGTGTCTCTTAAGCGTGTACCCATGTTGCATGCCCAGAAAAAGTGCGCGATCCCGCGTCTACATCTATTGGCAGACGTTGCAGCGTTGTTTCAAGTGTTATAATTCCTGTGTAATGAACATGACCTCGAAGCGGAACGTTGCAACTCTTGAAAACTCAAATTTTGTAGACTGTCACACGGTGATCAGGATACGCTGTGGCTGCACATGAAAAGAATACTACTCATCCCTGTCCGGTCCTCGTGGAACTTGTCCAGCACTGAGCCGCCGGATGGCATTACATTGCATTGCATTTTGCATCGCATTACATTGCATTGCACTACATCGCCTTACATTGCATTGCATTACATTGCCTTACATTGCATCGCATTGCATTGCATTTCATTGCATTGCATGTCATTGCATTACATTACTTTGCATTGCATTACATTGCATGACATTTCATTGCATTACATTGCACCTGTGCGGCGCAACCATGCGCCTGTGCGGCGCAAACACTATCTGTATAATCATAGGGCCAAACTACTTGGTTCAACCGTATTTTCCGGGCCTCATGCAACAAAGCGGAAGCAGTATCTGGACAAGACACTTGGACGCCTAAACAACTGATAAGAAAGGAATTCTGCAATGATAAGTAGAAACCAAAAATGACCTGGGAAAATACGATGGCCAAGCATGTCCAGCCATCGTATTTTCCCATATCCTTTTTGGACACCAACAATGCTCATTGCATAGGATACCTGAATTCAGGATACCTGAATCATATTCATAAGAAAAGGGTCGAACGCCTAAAGGTGCGAAGCAACGAAGCATATTTCTGCCAATTTGGTTTGATTCATTGCCGATCCTAGGCTCTCTTTAGGATGCCATTTAGGGTTTCATTCAAAGTTTCGTTGGGCTTTCATTTATGGTTTCTTTAGGCCAATTTATGATTTCTTTCGGGTTCAATTAGTGTTTCATGTAGGGGTTTCTTAGCAGCAATTCTTTAGGGTTTTTTGGGGTTTCACCTAGAGTCTTTAAAATTTCATTTAGGATACAAACAAGAGAGAATAAAACAAAAGAATTAGGGTTTCATGTAGGGATTCTCTGGAGATTTACATCTCTTAAAGGTTTTATGTCGGGTTTCTTTTGGGTTTCTGTCGGGTTTCATGTAGGGTTTGATTTAGGGATTCTTTCAGGTTTCATTTAGGGTTTAATTTAGAGTTTTGTGTAGGATTTCTTATCAGAAAATCTTGTCAAGGTTTTCAAACATTCATGTGGGTTTCTTGAAAGTTTCTTTAGAGTTTCATTTAGGATTTCATTCACAAGGTGGGGGATTAAAAAAACAAGGGCCCCCTATACTTTGATAAAATATCATGCACCTGTGCGGCGCAACCATGCACCTGTGCGGCGCAACACTAGCTGTATAATAATAGGGCCAAAAATATCGTATATATATATGTACATCTAACTATTATACAGCTACTTAGATCCATGAACCCATAAAACCATAGGATCATAATATTAACATCCACCCAAATGAAAAACCCATTTACAAATGAAAATTCAAACCTATCAAATATATTTCACAACAATATACATAGGAAAAAGGTCGAAAGCGTCAAGGTGCGAAGCACCGAAGAGTTTTTATGCCAATTTGGTTTGCTTCCTTGCCGATTCTTCCGGGGTCGGCGGCAGGGGCGGCAGCCCTTAAATATATATGAATATGTATATATATATATATACAGTATATATCGGAGAATTGATGTCAGTTGTCAGTTTTACATTAGATTAAACTAGTGTATAGATTAGATAAACAAGGTTAGATATATATATATACACAAGATTGGATGGAGAAGATAAGATGTAGAGAAACTTGGACAGATTATATAGATAGATAAGATTCCCTCGGATACGAAGTTGAGACATGAATGGTAGGCTTTCGTCAGCCCTCCGTCTGGATTTCATCAATTTGTGGCGATTGTCTTTTTCTTGGGGGCCACGATGATCAGCTTCAGCGGATTTGAGGTCATAACGATCCTCTTTTTGGAAGGGACACCCCCAAATGGACCTTGACCCTGTCAAGCCACCCACTCGCCGTTGATGACCTGACAGGCGGATTTATCGGGATCTGAAGCAGAGATACCCTGAACATCTTGGATTACTCGAGACATGCTTTGGGTGCACAATATCAAATCAAGACGAAATTCTGAAGCCACACGCATATTTGTCAGAAGTTACATGCTTCGTCGTTCTGACACACGCATATTTCCCTAAGCCCTAAGCTATCACAAAAATCGACATAGGAACTCTTCGAAAGCCAAAAAGGGGCACTGCCCTGGTTCCCAGCATCCTCTTTGGATGATCCGTGACCATGGCTGGTCCCCGATCCGTAGGTCGCCTTGAACATGTCTTCACTCAAAGGACCAGCCCCTATTAAGGCGCGGCCATCCAAGCCTTGGGAACCAAAAAAAAACCAACATCATCGCCCCCTTGGGCCCGCCTTACGGACATAGATGGATGATCTCTGCAGCCACCAGGGGCTTCAGCCAAAACCATCTTGAACATTAGAATGACTAGTGAAAAATCATTAACCATATACTCTAACTAAGACACTATAACATATATATATAAGTTTGTGTTTAAATATATATATATATTACATTCAACATTAAACTAGTATTATTATTGTAAACTAGTGCTATCATTAACCATTGTGGTGTGTTATAATATAAACAATTATAAACATATATAAACATATATAAACACTATAACACACCTTCCGACAGACTTGGCAGAACATGGGGGCCCAATGCCAGAACCTTTGGCAATTTCACTCCAGGCCCCGCACGTTCCACATAGCCCGGTGTCACCTGCCACTGCCCGAAAATTGGCGGCGCAGCAGGGTTCATCTGGGGACCAAAGTAATCACATGTAATCACTTCTTTGGGGAACCAGATTTGGTCCAACGGAAAATCTATGGGTTTCTTTTGTATTCTTAAAATCAGGGTGCCATGTACTGTAGATGTGATCTTCCCTTCAACCCTTCCATTGGTCGATGGCTTTGAGTACCTTGAAGAATATATAAGGAGCATACAATGGGGGAGTTGTGTCACCAAACAGCGCGGCTGTCCCATTTTTTGTACCCATGCTTGTATTCGGAAATTCTAAAATCACCGGGTTTCTAAGAGTCGGATTCGTATGATTCGACCCCCGAGCTGTTTCCAGATTCAATCGTTGGCCAGTTCCAAACCTTGGAACTTGATCCTGAAGTGACGACCGAACATCCAGCGATTCAGGATCTTTTGATCATCATAGTTGACCCACAAGAAACAACTTCGGCCAGAACAGGGGATGATTCACCTTACCCTCTGGTAAGTTAAGATAGCTATTGAAAATGGCCATTTATAGTGGATTTTCCCATTAATAATGGTGATTTTCCATAGCTATGTTAAATTACCAGAGGGTATTCCCCATGGATTTCGTGAAGTGGTCGCTGCCAGCCTGTGGTCCTGCCACACCGAGGAGTCCCGTGAACTCTTCAGGGGAATCGGGCAGAGGCTTCAGACTCTCATCTAAGATGAAGACCTGCCGATTCCAGGGATTAGGATGGATTAGGTTCCTCAGGAAAAAAGAAAGTGGGGAACGGACTTCCTTGAAAAAAATAGGGGATGGATCTTCTCGGTTTCCGAAAGAACATGGTGTCTTTCGCTGATGACCAACAACCACTTTTTTCGTGGTGAAGTCTTCCAGTTTGGGTGCAACATTTTGCATTGGCGATTGGCGGGTTGGCCTTGAGGAAACCATTTCTGGTGGCTGTGGGTATTGGGATCTTTGAAACTCGATAATTTTGAATTACGTCTCTGTCATGTGTTGAAAACACTGTGGTTTGGGGTTAGTCTGTAGCTTGAAAAAAAAAACAGAAGACAGGGGGGAAAAAAGACCTTGGTGTCCCATCCAATATTATGGGTGACAACAGGAATCCGGGCGAATGTCATGTGAAGCTAACCACCAGCTTCACCACAGGTTGCCTCACCTGCGCTTTGCCCAGCGGCCGCATGGCGTGCGACACGCGGCCGTCGCTGCCCTTGGCCAGTTCCAAGTTACATGAGGCGAAGGTGAGGAAGTATTCCTGGCAGCGACAGGGTGACAGGGATTGCTGTCCCAATTTCTTGCACATAAAAAACCGGGCTTGTTGAATTTGTGATAACCAACTGTTGGGAATACTAATCTGTATTAATATGATACGAATATGTCATCTCCAAGAAACACTTTTTTGTTGTGATGTGAACAAATCCCAAAAATGGGACATGTCCCGGATCAGGCTTTTGTTCATTGGGCCCTAGCCTGATTTTGAGCATGAAATATGGGCCGGGCTTCTCCGCAATGGATTTGAGGGATGTTTTGTGCAGGAAAGCTTTTGGTTACTCTATCTTACCCCAAAATGTGCAGTTGGTATTCCCTTAGTCACTGGCTAAATGTTAGAATACCCCAACCACTAGCTTAGTTCCCCCAGTTGGTTCTTGATTGGTGTTCCCCAACCGCGCACTTCTGGCACAGCTGCAAATCGGCGATGAAAATTGGACTCTCATCCCACCAAGGCCCAGGATAAGGTTGACATTTGGCCGCCAAAATATTGACCCCGCGGCTACGTTTGTTTCAAACATAAAGGTGGCTGTGAACACGACTAATGTCATGTTCGAACCAGACTATGTCATGGGTTCCCATCTTCGGATTCGAAAAAAAATACTGGAAACTCCGGAACTGCCCGGATATGACATCATTGACATCCCAAGAACCATTTGGTGATGATGTTCTTTTAAAGAAATAGGATCCATGTATTTGATGCTACCATCCCAAAAAAACAGATGTGGTCCCGGGAATGCAGTACCGATTTCAAGCCATGTCGGCTTCGAAATGTTGAAAAAAAAGGGCGTGTACCTGGGAAATTATCCATGCGGAAGTAATACAATAAATAAATATATATATACTGTATATATATATACATCACACTATTACACTATCCCGGCGACGCAACTTTCAACCCACTTTGGAATCCTTCAGCTACTTCAGACAAGCATGGGGCGGCAGCAACTGATATGGCTGCGTCTGAAACTGGGGTATACCCCCATTGACCGTCAATGTTAATTGGGAACACAACGATAAATGACTGGAGTTGGGATCCTCAGCTATGGCTAAAAGCTGCGGCCTTGAGTGCTGCTATAAGCTATAGACTACAGATGATGTTCCCATCCAAAATCAGCGATTCTCTTCGCATTTTCCCATGTAAATTATCAAGAATATCCAAAATCAAAGGCCTTTCCACTTTTTGAAAAAAAAAAAACGTGCCAATCCATCAAAAATCAAGGCTGTTCCCATATTTACCAGAAGATGTTCCCATCTTCCAGATGATACTACCATGTTTCCCAGATGGCTATGGATCAATACCTATACATACCATTTTTAGGGGGATGAACATCCATTTACCAGCTATTTTGATGTTCACCAGGGGTACAAGGTTTTGACACACTGCCAGATAAACACCATAGGATTTTCCCCATTTTTCCCATCTTTCTCCAGATTTCCCCGGAGGATTTCCCCATTTTTCAACCGCAGCACCGTGGCGATGAGCAGGTCCGCCATCTTCACCCCTTGCGCCAGCCAGGCGCGGCCCAGCTCCACGTCGCAGCGTTCGGCCTTTTTGACCCCTAGGAGGCCAAAGGTGAAAACCATCAACCATCGAATTCTCTATGGTTGATGGTAGGAGATAACTATCTTCTAACTCTATGGGACAATACTTTTTGGATATCTTCGAATTCTATCTGGGTAAATTACAATATTTCACTAACCTGAATAGTTCGGCCATTTTGGGATGATTCCCCGCAATCTAACTATGATTATAGTGAGGGAGAACAGTGAGGTCGTTATAATTTACCCAGATTCTATGGTTGATGGTAGGAGATAACTATCTTCTAACTCTATGGGACAATACTTTTTGGATATCTTCGGATAATACCTCGGGATAATATGGTTGGTGGTGCAATAACCATCTTGAAAAATATGAAAGTCAATTGGGATAAATATATATATATATGGGAAATTATGGGAAAATAAAAGCCATGTTCCAAACCACCAACCAGAGATCATTTGTCGCCATTGGATAGTTATATCCTACCACCATAGAATTCAGCCACTCAATTCTTGGCAACTTAACTATCTTTAAAGGGCCATCCTGTATATAACAGGTTGAGATATGACCTGGTTCAGTTGTGGCCAGTGATAATCCTATCCTTTCCCATAAATAGGGAACTTACTATAGCCAGAATAAGCAACTTATCGTTTTATTGGATAAATAGGGAACTTACTAATGTGCGTACAACAATGCCATAAACCACCCATGACTGGGAATGGTTTATACCACCTATTTATGACTTTCTGGTGATTTGGGGGATGGCCCTTAGCAGTTTTAACTGGCCTATAATTTCATGATAATGATATATAACCTTAGTTACAGGAGATAAAATCCCATTCATAACTGTTAAGAGCCATAACTGTTGACTTTTTTTCACCAATGAAGAATGGGTATAGAATCGGAAACTTTGATAATGATTAATATGATATTATTTATTCTTGTATCAACAATAGAGGTTTCACCAAGGAATAAGATACAATGTATATAATGGGAATATCATATCTACACACAGAATGGACGAGATTCTCAGAGATATTCTCAGAGATATTCTTCGAGATATGGAGATCTTTGATACATCTAAAATTCAATTCAGATATGGTCACTAGTGGTCACTAATGGTCACTATAGTCATGACTAGAATAATTGTTACCACCATCTGATCTGGGTCGTTCCCACCCAGCTGAAGACCACCCGCAGGCTGGACGGGATGTTCTTCGCAGCAGGCCACAAGTTGTTCCTTGAACGGGGACCAAAAAAAAAGGTCGGACTCAAGTTGTAGATGAAGAAAATGGTGGGTTTTACTTGCAAAAAATCAGATTTTATCAAGCAAATTCTTGGATTGAACCATTTGCAGTTGGGATTTAACATGATTTAACCATCAAGTTGGTTTGATGTTTTTTTCAGGACATCTTCAGAATTTCATGTTGATTCATTGGCCGTCCAGATTCTTGTAAATATTGGTCTTCACCGAATGTTTCCACAGATATTGTGGGGGGAAGCCCGAGCTAGCAGCTCTCCCTTCTTACTATGCCAAAAGATACCAAAAGTCTAAGCTTTAGCGAGTTGTGGTGTAAATGGATCGAACCCAAAAACACATTCAGAATCCAGTCGTATGTGGCCTTGTAGCCGTCATGACAGGACCAGGTACAGCAAGGGCAGTAAATCTGTAGAACCAGGATGGGTCGGATGAACATTCCAATGGGCAGAAGAGGAGTTGGCCATGTTCGCTCAGCCTTTTTTCTGACAGCATGCTACTTACTTTGTACTCTACTCACTCTCACTCTTCTATTCCGTTCATTTTAGCATGTATGTCCCTTAGTCTCTGTACCAGGCCAATGTACTATGTCGCAGTGCCCTCTTTCTCCCGTCAGCAACATGTTCCAAGGAAACAAAAGAACCGCCCGCATCCAGTCTCAATCTAACCTGGCATTGCAAAATCCTTCACTTCTGAGTTCCCTCCATATTTTCCAGCCAGAAATGACAAAATCCAGCCAGGTGGGTTCGATTTCTCCGGCGCCCGCGTCTCCTTTTTTTGTGTCCAGCTCTGAATGGTTTGGTCCACACACCAAGGGGGTCGGGGCTGGGTGCCAGAAGTGAGCGCTTGATTTTGACGCCAGGACGCGCGCAGCTTTGTTGCATCCGCAGCGTCGGACATTTTTCGTTCATGGCAACGTTCAACGAACACCCCACAGAGAAAGGAACTGGTTAGAAAAGGGGGGTACAACCGAGGACTGATAGTATAGTACCCCTCCTATGGGAACTAATCCTATAACTAATCCTCAATAGGAACTGATTATATACGGGAAGGGGACTTACTATTGATTGTCAACCACGATCGGCATGATCCTCCCCTTGTGCCCTGTGTTACTGCTTAAAAGGATACACCCCCAAAATTTGACATGCTTGAAGATGCTATTCCTGTTAGAATCTATTAGATAATATATATATATATACACAACATATAGATATAGATATAGATATAGATATAGATATAGAGGCAATTTTGAGCTTCTGTTTTAACTTTTATATTGCTATTGCTATTGCTATTGCTATTGCATATACAGTGTGTGTATATATATATATATATATACATCAATTTTGGGATTCCATGTTAACTGTTGGGGAGCTTTCCAAATAGACCCTTTTAGGCTCACCAACACTCTCGTCCTGACGGCCGATGCTTTGCCGGTCAACCTGGCACCTGACCCAAGACTGGCTGCTCCGTTTGGACAGCAGCTGGGTAGAACAAGCAGCTCACCACTGATCCAGGATCTGCTGAACCTGCTGATGACAGCACAGAAAGGCATAGAGATCTGCTGATTTTCAGAGTCCAAAATTCAGTGGTTTTGTTGAGTCATCTTGATTCGACTCATCGATTCTGAAATATCCTTGGAAATTTGGCGGTTTAAAACAATGCGATATGAACCAAGATGGCTTCGTAGCTGCATTTAGGTCATTTGCTCACCTCGCGTCAATGATGAAAACCGAGAAAGCTATGGATTAACCAACATCCTTTGAAACGTTGGCTCTTCCCTGTAGTGTGCCAATGACCTGTACATCAAGATGCATGGATGTTTGCCTTTTCTATTCATCATCCCGGGGCCAACATGAACCGAACACCGTTCATACCGTTCCGAAAAACCCAACCAGTTCACCTTTTGCCATCCGTTTTTTTTTCTGGGGAAGCATTTCTGCCAGCTCAACTCAAATTCAGTAATGTCAACCCTGGATTAATGAACCCTGGTTCATTATGGGGCTTGGGCTACCCCCCACATAGTGATAATCTATGATAACCTGATACTTAAACGGCACCCCCAAAATTAAACAGCCCAGGGGGTTATTTATCCAGTGTTGACATGACATTACAAATCACATCGGCAAATCTGGGCAGATCCTGAAATGGGTAAACCTCTCATCCGCATTCATGCGGAGACCCCCAACTCAACAGGCCGACTTTGAGCCTGTGTGGTGCCGTTGGACCCCTAGAAATGCACCTTGAGTTGTCAGGGCTCATCCAATCTATCCGATCGGGTGACAACTTCCTGGTGACCGCAAGGGGAATCCTGCCACTTCCAGGTCTTGGTTTATGCTTCCCTCACGGAAAAGAACCACATCAAGATCGCTGCAAAAGGCCTTCAGACAACTGATCCTGGGAGTGGTGACAGGGGCGAACAGCACCCTGCAGCCTGATGGCTGCGGTTTTTTAAGCAGCAAACGGCCCTGAACCTTCAAGCCAGCTAGAGGTTAGCTGACCCTGCCGGGATCCGATGCGAAAAGAACCGCGTTGCAGTGGGCAAGGGTCAGTCGGACGCAAGAAACAGGGGATGGCTCACGCATCCCAAGGACACTTGGAAGATTGGATAATCATGGGAAGAGTCCGTCACCTTTCACCATGGGGATGTCGTTTCGGAAGATGTGCTGCGGGTGTCAGTAATGCTCCAGTAACTCTCAGTTTTTTGGGGCTCGGTCAGAATTCCCGATTTTGGAGGGTCACTGGCTCACAGTTTCTGCATAAGCGACTTCCAAAATACATCAGGGCCTTGGCCGTAAATCATTTGATCCTTTCCTCGTTTCCATGGTCCGACGAAAATGAATTGCTCCCGCACCTATGGCCCACGGTGAAGGCCACATGTCTCCGGCACCAGCTTGAGCGTTCAAAAGTTCAGATTTCGACTGGTCAAAATAGGGGCATGTCCTTTTTCAAAAAACAGAGCAGGTCACCTACAACCAAAAAAAAATCAATGGGAAATTCAGGATATTCCCTTACATAGGCCTTATATAGGCCTTATATATGGTACCTCCAATCAATTGGTTCCTGGCCAGCATGGCCATTGAAAAATCTGCTCATCCCAGCCGTCACCAGTACCGAAGCTATTGCTGACCGGGCTCACTCGGTGCTACCGATCTTCCTCCTTCGCAACATCTTGCCCTGCGCTGGGGGATGACCGAGTAGAGAAAAGCTTTCGGGGAACCACATCTGATCGTCTTTCTGAGGGAATGTCCGAAGCATCATGGGTTTGTCCGAAATTAGGGAGTCCCCGGAATCCCCAAATTTGATGTTCATGGATGATCTTCATTTTCGTTCTGAAAGTATATTCAAATTGCCATGTAGGGGATACCCCATTTCAGCCACACCCATATGGTGTTTTTCCAGTTGTTGGGTTTGTGGATCTAAGGGTCAAGCACTTTCGGTCTCCAAGACTGCTGGGTCGTTTTTTGAAGACCCTAAATATGATCCATCAATCTGCGCTGTCTATCCGTGTTTAAAAATCTTGGCATATCTTAACTCATACCCTAATTTTTTAGTGGTGAGGGTCCCACTGTTCGTGCTTGGAATGCCATGTGTTCTTGCAAAAACATGCAAACATCACACGAAACCTGTTCCCAAAAGAAATGTGTGACTTGTTCTTCCCAAAATCATTCCGTTGTCAAATCTCTGTTCAGTTGTTCGAATCGTTCGATTCATTCTACACACTGTGGTAAACTCAATTAGGAAAAAAAAACAACCTCACCACTTTCATCCCCAGTCATGGTAGCTTTATGGCTCGGTTTCCCACATAGTGCTCCCATTCGGCCTGATCGCCCTCAGGGCCCACCAACATCATCAGAGGCATCAGGAAGTTGGTGGACATCAAGATCCTGGAGCTTCGGCAATGGCGGAAAATGCTACCTGGAGAAGTTGGAGACTTTGACAAACGTTGGAGACGTTTTTTGTGAAGCTGGAAACTGGAAAATCACCAACTGGGTTTGTCTGAAAATAGGCTATATTCCCAATGAAATAGCCATTGAATAGGGATAATGATCATTAACCATTGGGTTTAGGGGTACACTATTTTCAGACACACCCAACTGGAAAATCACCAACCAGTGAAAGTTGGGTGAAAACGCTGAAACCGAGTCAGCTGGTTTCGGCCAAAGCCGTGCTGTTTTCGACAAAATTCTGTGCCATCCCCGCGGCATCCGGACCACGAACGGACCACCGCTGCCAAGGATCGAAAGTCCGATGACCATGAAGATAAAGCCGCCAAACCTGGGAGAAAAATCTCGCTGATCATCCTAAAAAGCTTGAAAAAGCTATGTTTCTTTTAGCATTGCCGCCAGCCGGGATGGGCTGGGGGTTTCTGACGACCTTTTCAAAAAATTGAACGGCTCAAAGTGGGAAGCTTGAAACATATGAGGATTTTCAACCACCACTCCTAGATAGGAAACTTGCATAGTTCGAGCTTTGAAGAATTTGAAGCGATAAACATCGATGTTGAGCCAGCCGAATAATGTATGCAGGGGGGACACCACGGTATGCTGGGCGACCCACAATGTATCCTTATTCTTCCGGGCTCGGTGTCTGTTGAGAACAACGCCTCAAAATTGACAAGTTTAGCCCCACATGGGTTGAAATCTACCACATCCTCCCAAAAAGTCCATAGGTTTTGGGGGGTCGATCAAAAGTCATATGGTTTTTACCCAATGAACCTACCATTTTGGGATGGTTACCCATAAAAATCATGACTTGGGGATTGTAGGGGGGGTTGCCGGTTGGATCCATGCCAACAAACTTGGAAGTCAGCCACAAGAAGCAGTTCTTGGCTCAAGACATATTTATAGTCTCCAAAATATGCCAAAAAGTCATGCATCCCGCATCCCCATTTTTGGCTGGGATTTGACCAACTTCTATCTCTTGTGGGGGTTGCTATCAGCCACACCAAAGAAAAAAAAACATCCCCCAAACCAAGCTGCTGGAAGAAGAAGTAGAAACCGCAGGCGAACAGCATGGCGGCGGCAAAGAGTGTGGTGATGGCCGAGTTCGCCACAGAAATGCCCATCTCCTGCTTTCAACCATGGCGCAGTCATAGATTTTTTTGGAATGGTCCACAAAAAATCGAATTAGTTGATCAATTTATGGTGGTAGATGTGGTAGTATCCCTGGCAAGGCCCATCAATGAGCATGTTGCTACATGGCTATTTTCGTCCAAACCCCGGCACCCTGGGTAGAATAGCTGGTTAATGGGTGTTTATTCCCCCAGTCGTATGGTAAGAATAGCTCTTGACCCATCTCACTTCAAAACATTGGTAGGAACACCATGAAAAACAATGGCTTGCATCAGCTCAACCTACCCCGGCTGAGCGGTGCGGAGCTGGAGTCTCCTCCAAGGCTGCGTGCGCACGGGCCGTTCGGGCGGACACCGGAGCGTTGTCATAGGCATGAAGCAAGTGGACCTGGGGCGTCCCCAACGCTTGGTGGTGGTTTTGAGCCAGCTGCTCCAAATGGCACAATACCCTCTGGTGTCATCAAATGTGGAAATCCCCAGCTAAATGGACGTTTCTAGCTGGGTTTGTTTTTCCCATAAATCCTGATGTTTTCTACTGCCAGTTTTTTTTGCTGGAGGGTATTGAAAATCGGCGTTCCATTTCTACGGCTGAAAAACTGAAACATATTTGAAACATGTTGAAATCACCAGCTTGTTTCACCACCTAGATATGAGCTTTGCAAAATTTTCCCTAGAAATCTTCAGGGGCTTCCCCCACGTTCCGCCCAGCGCGCCCCAGCGCCCTGGCCCCTGGCTCGGGCTTTCCTACCGTGTAGTCCACGGACAAGCCCACGGTGGCGATCATGAAGATGCACTCGTTCTCGCCCAAGCCTGGCTGACCAAGAAGGGGAATCTTGGGAGGTGATTCCCCATTCGGCTTGAGATAGATAATTTCCTTTAAAGTGGGAATATGTGATGGGAATATGTGATGGGAATATTTGGATGGGAATATTTGATGGGAATATTTGGATGGGAATATTTGATGGGAATATTTGATGGGAATATTTGACGGAAAAAAAAATTGGAATAATCATTAAAAATCCCCGTTGAAGCACCATCAAAATACCATTGAATCATCTTCGAAATGAGAATATCTTATGGAAATATTTTGTGGAATTGGTTGATGGGATTATCACTTATACAGCTAACATGGCTCAACCCTGATGATTCACTCCGTGCCCTGGGAGCAGGACTGGCATTGCTGGTCCTTCATACACCAAGAAGCTCCAGCCCAACAATGGCACAATACCCAGGAAGGTGGCGGTGATGCAGACGATGCCTCGACTGGGCCCGGATGAATCTTCACCCCTTTTCTTGGCGGGTACCCTTTTTTGGAGATATCCAAGGATATTTCACATGTAACCCATGTAGCATTCACCAAGATATGTTTTTGTTGGAACCTTTTTTGATGGTAAAATCTTCATTTGGTGGGGTACCATTAAAGAATAGCAGGTAAAACAGGTGAAATCACTTTTGGGGGCCCCGTTTTGTTCAGCTAAGCTAGGGTTTGTTGATCCGGGGTTGAGTGGTGGATCAATGGGGCCATTCCAGGCAGTTTGATTGCAGCTACGCAACACATGCAAGTCTATGAGCCTGTGAGTCTGTAGAAAATTCAGAATTCATGTTCTGCAGAATATTGCTCTAGAACTATGGCTGAAAAAATTTCACCAGCTGTCGCCAAACTCCAACTCACCGAAAGTCAACCACCATGCACGACAAATAGCAGGGAAACCTCTTCCTGGTATGTGTCCTTCAAAATTCAAGTAGCGCACCAAATGTCAACACACTCTGGGCATTTGTCAAACTGAAGTACCCAAAAAAAAGTTGGAGGTGTTCAGGTTTCATCCCCAACAAGTAGCCCAAAAACATAAGGCTCACAATGTGTGTAAAAATCCTCAAAAAATCCGTGAATCGAAAGCTCCCCAGTCCCCAGTCCCCAACAAGCCCCTGGGGCTCCCAACACACCAAACCCAACGAGGAGGACCACCAATTGCAGGTGGTGGCCAACAGCACGATGAAGGCCACCAACAAGGACAGGCAGATTCCCATCGTGGCGGCCTGGTCCAAGGCGGGGCGTGGCACCGATGGAAAGCTCCGAATGATTCTGGTTTGAAAAAAAAACGAAAGGTGTGGACCATTAAGCACACTGGTTTATTAACCACTTCAAGCACCAGTGGAAAAATGGTATCATAGAAGTGTCACATTATTTTGTTAGGTTTTTTAAAGTCTGTTTTTTATATGTCGAGTTCAGACACAGCCATATCCCATATTGATCATATTGTTTGTTAGACATATCACCAAAAAGATAGAAAAGTAGAATCATGCAAAATATCCGTAAAAGTGGTAGATCAGTCTTCTTTCCTTTTGGGGGGATATCTGTATCTCTATATCTCTACGTCTACAAGTATATTATATAGATGGGTATATAGATGGGTATCTCTACGTCCACATGTTTTACATATATATATATATATACATACATTTTAAGGTTTCCTGGAATGGGGGGTTACCTCTAAATCATGCGATGGCCTTGACCATCTCGTTCTGTGTCACCAGGAAGAGGTAGAGGTCGGTCGTTTGGTAGCCTCCAATGTTGGGCGCATGTGTGTCCTGGCGGAACACCACCGGCTTCATCGCCGGTGATTCATTGGCCGAGATGGTTTATCGATAGAGAGGTTGGGGCAACCCAAAAAAAAAGTGGTTGGGGCACAAAAAGTTTTACCCTCTGGTAAACATACAAGAAGCTATTGAAAATTGCCCATAGAAATAGTGGATTTACCCATTAAAAATGGTGATTTTCCATAGTTTTTTGTATGTTTACCAGAGGGTCAATGGTCACCAAATACGGGTCTTGTTGAACTCGCTGTTGGTTGGAACTCCCCAAACACCCTCCTTTCAGGCACCATCGGAACCGCTGGTCCCCAAAATCGGCAACGAAAATCAGGAAGTCCCCATCGATTTGATCTGGCTGGTATACCTACCCCTCTGAAAAATATGAGTTAGTTGGGATGATGACATTCCCAATATGGTGGGAAAGTCATTTCAACCTGCCATGTTCCAGTTACCACCAAGCAGTTTTTTGTTCAAACAAGCATCTTGCTCCCATGAAAATTTGCTCCGTCCCATCCGCCCGGCCTTGAACGCTTGCCAGCGGTTGTACCAGACGTTGGCCTCGTCCACCGTGTTTTCCCGAGGGAAGGTGGCGTTGAAGCTGATCCACGAGAACATCACCTGAAGAGCTGAGAAGCCTTTTGGCCGTTTTTGAAGTGGAATAGTCGTGTGGATGGGGTTGATGATTTCTATACATATATATATATATATATGTGTGTGTATATATATATACATAGCTTTGTATTTTGTGTATGTGTATATATATACACACATCTATGTGTATACATATTTGTGTATATATATATATATACACATCTAATTATGTATATATACACACATACACACGCATCTATATGTATATATGTATATAGATATGATTTACCCATGCATAGCATAAACTACATCCGTATGTATGCTTGGTTTATGAGGATTGCCATGCTTCAAAGTATCCCGTGTTTCTCCGATCCCATCCGCGCCTGGGTCTTCAGGCCATTGAGCCTGACCCCGGTGTACCTGGCGTGGAAGTCCGCCTCGTAGCGTCGGTTGCGCGTGCGAAGGTACGAATACTTGTCCTGGCCACGGGGATTGACCTCCGTGGATTGATCCTCTGTGGACATCCATCGTCACACTTTCGGCGATCTGAGGAAAATCGAACCAAGAAAGAAGCGTCGCTCACCATTTTCTATAACCAATAAAACCAACTATATCTGGTTGGGTTATCCCCATAAAATATCCTCTGTGGAGGATATCCCCATAAACCAACTATATCTGGTTGGTGGTTTCAGCCCCTCTGAAAAATATGAGTTCGTCAATTGGGATGATTATTCCCCAATATGATGGGAAAAATAATCCAAATGTTCCAGACCACCAACCAGATATGGGTTTGTCTGAGAGGGTATACCCCCAAGTGGCTACCTTAATAGGGAAAATAATTACTAGGTCACTCACCAATCCATTTATGGGGTACACTATTTTCAGACAACCCCATCTTTGGGAAAATTGTAAAAGGCTCAGTTGGATGGAGGACCGGATACCGGATAGGTTTTTCAAAACCACTGATTGAGGCAAGTCAGTAAAAAAATTATGGCAGTTTCATCAGTTTCATCTCCCAAATCAAAAATTAGCTGAATGAAACTGCCACTATTCCACTAATTTTAGCTAATAGTTTCAGCTGAACTAATTTAGAAGGAATGCTTTTGACGCCAATCTGCGCACAGCTCAGAATCTGGGGGACACTGACCCCGAATTCAGGTTTGATCATCTTCGCCATTAATCCTTTCATGGCGTTCGAGATCAAGGCTCCATCAGCCTCTACCCAAGGAAACCCTCAATCCAGCTCCAATTGGTCTAAAGGCTTTGAACTATACCCATTTTTGGGGGGAAGTGCCCAAAGAATTCAAAATTAAAGAACGTAAGGTGTCCTATTCAGTCTTTCTTCTCTATTCATCATGTCTGGAACGTGAAAAAAGAAGACGCACCAAAATTCCGTTCCGAAATAAACACATCCTATCTCATTGAGAGGCTTTTGCAGGCAAGAATTAAGGGAAACAGCCATTTCTTTTAACATCTTTTAACCATTAAATATCTGGGTCATGGTCCAAAGCCTACGATCCCACGAATCGTAGGCTTCGTAGGCTTACGCCCATGGGATGACAATCAGAAAACTTAGAGAGGTGACGAACTACGCAGCACGCAGATTCAAGAGTTGTTGGCGAAGTGTCCCCGTTTATTGATAGCTGAATCATCATTCTAGTTGCTAAATTTTCCTGAGTTTTTGCTGTGCAAACCCTTTTGTTGGTTAACTCTGCTGTTGAGTTGTTTAACCTATCTTGAGTTGACAGCAAAAAAAAACGTATATTATCTATATATGTATATATATATATGGCACAAAATCCATCTGCCCAACCTCCCCAGCAACCAGGGCAGCTCCTGCATGTACTTCTCGAACTCCGTCACGGATTGATCCTCTGCGGACCTCCATCGTCACACAAAAAGGCGATCCGAGGAAAATCGAACCCAGAAAGAAGCGTCGCTCACCACACCATTTTCTATAACCAATAATAGTGGTTAATGGTGGTTAATGGTGGTTCTTTATGGTTTTATGTTGGCAAAACAATAATAAACCAACTATATCTGGTTAGTGGTATACCTACCCCTCTGAAAAATGATGGAGTTAGTTGGGATGATGACATTCCATTCCCAATATGATGGGAAAGTCATTTCAACCAGCCATGTTCCAGTCACCACCAAGCAGTTTTTTGTGGGTCCACACTCGGTGCCACAATCGGTGCCAAAAAACACATTCGTCAGCAAGGACAGGAAGGTGTCTTCATCCAGACCAGTGGAGGGATAACTGTCGGGGCTCGTGGCGCTGTAACCTCCGCGGCTAACTTTGGACGACCAAAAAACCGGGGGTTTTTTGGTGGCGAAAAATGGGGAGTCGGAGAAAATGTGCTTGCATTCTTGGGGAAAAAAAGAGGATGTGTGATTGCTGAACATGATTGGATATTGTTTAAGATGTTTCTCTCCCACAATCAAACAATGTGATTCTTGTAGTAGTGAAGCAACCATTGTCAGGGCTCAACAGATTTGAGCCTTAGCTGCTTCATTGTTGAGCCAACTCCCTGCAAAGTATGATATGGTCAATTTGGTTCACCATCTGATTTGTTGGGACGGAGGATAAAAGAGAATATGTGTAACCGCCATCACCAACTGGTGGTGTGAAGCCTGCAAAGTGCCTGTTCAACCCACCTACTGACCCTTTACAGCACAAAAACATGATCGAAGATTGGTAATGTTCTCCCGAGTGAATGTTGACCACATGGGGTTGGATAATACAACCGGGGTTCATGAAGCGGTTGACCTGAGACATGATGTTCCCAGCCAAACAAAAACCAGGGGGAGATTAGAGGTCCGATGGGCTTCTAAATTCAAGCTCAGGTGTTTCCAAAACCAAATGTAGGGAGAGGTTGCTGGTCTTTGCCAGGGGCTTCTTATGCCACACAATCAGCTCAAAGTCATTTTTCCAAGCTTGAAGCTCATCAAAAAGTAGCCAGATCCCAACCCAGAGGGATCATAAATATCCCCAGAAATATCCCAGAAAAATCCCTTACTGATATCCCTCTGGTAATGTAACATAGCTATTGAAAATGGCCATAGAAATAGTTGTTTTTCCCATTAAAAATGGTGATGTTCCATAGTTTTTGTATCTTTATGAGAGGGTATCTCTGGCATCTCACCCCCCCCAAAAGCAACCACTGGCAGCCCAAATCTCGGCCACGCCACAGATGTTGTTGCTGGTGGACCAGCGGCATCCTGTATCGGCCACGCAGGCAGCCGAGGTGGTCAAACGCTTCTGGCAGTTGCCTCGACGACGCTTGGGGCCATAGGCTAAGGTGATACAACGAGGCGAGGCCATCGGCGATCTTAGGTTTTATGCTGGAGATTGATGGATAGTGACAGTTCAACAGTTCAAGAACTTCATCCTAGTGACGTCACTGAGAGTTGCCCAACTTGGCCATCTACAAAATGTCATGTTGAATGGAGCTCGGTTAAGGGAGGTTAGAACGGTTAGGACATCACAAATTTAAACTAAAACCTGGTGTTTCTTTAAAAATCCCTGTGAATTCACCATGTTTTGCATCCACAAACCGCGCCTTGTTTGTAGGCCCAGAAATACTTGAAGTCCTCCATCCAACAGTAGCGCCCCGTCACACAGGTCTCTGTCTCCTGGACAAGCAAAAAATGTGGAGTTCACCTAGGAAAATTCGGGTTTTATCATGTTTTATCTACAACAAATCTGGATTTTGGCCACAAAAATATTGAGGTGAGACACTGGAAGAGAGAATTAAACCAGAAAAAGGTAGGACTTATGTAACCTACAAAAAATGTACTTCGGAAGTGGAACATCATTCTCAGTGTAAAAGTCAGGGTTGACTCCAAAAATAGTGGACAAGGATAGAAAAGGAATCAAAATTGACAAATGGTAGGTAGGAATTATCTGGAAACGTGTACCCAAAATCTCGTTGAGAAAATCATGTGCCCTACAAAAAAATGCCATAAATTTGGTGGTGAATCCCTGGTGTTTTGGACAAATCCATCACCATTAGTGTTGACAAAATTCAATTTTTTGTTGGTCAAAATTTCCCGTGTTGCTCGTTACATAATAATGAAACTCAACAAAACCTCAACCTTCATGTTTGCTCGTGACACCATGGTAAACCCGGTTTGCTGGCTAGAATCCCAATGTTTGGTTGTTAAATCCCAATATTTGGTGGTTAAACTTCCAATCTCGGGCAATAAAGTCCTAAAAAGTTGTGGTTCAACTGCCAAGTTCTGGTTCAAATCCAACCACAACCATCCTTTCCTCGCGCACGGGCCCCCGGGGCCCCTCCCATCCCCTTGCCCGCTGCTCCCGCACGAAGAATCCGTGCAGCTCCCAGCCGTCAGTTTCTGCAGTGCAGCGATCAGCCAAGGGGGAGCCGCGCACCTGGAGCTGTTTCTTCATGAGGATTTCAGGCAAGCAATGTACATGCACATATAAATAGAGAGAGAGAGAGGAAGAGAGAGATATGTATAGATGTAGATAAAGATATATAGGTATAGATATAGATATAGATGTAGAAAAAGATAAAGATATCCATTTACATATACATATACATATACATATATATATATGTATACATAAAGACTGTATATATATATATATATGGACTGTATATATATATATATACAGACTGTATATGAGCATATATATATATAATCTATATGCACATAGACTGTATATATTTATTTTTTGTACAATATAAACGTAATATTAAATTTTATATATATATATATAATATGCAAAAATTGATTGGTTTTGCAACCAAAAGCTGTGGATATGTTGTTGCTGACCAAGTTAAGAGAGCAACGCCCGATAGGGTTCTTATTCCATTATCCTGATTGGGCTATAGGCTATAGGGGTTCCCATCATGGGTTACAATAATCCCTACAAGGTGGTGCCCCATACTCAGCTAGGCTGGTTTAACTAGGTTAACGATGGTTTATGGTAGAAATATCTAAAGTTCATGGGATTCACCAAACAGTGTGGCCACACTGAGGGGTTCTTGCGGTAGGTGCTAATTTCGATCGAGGTGGTATCCGTCGCGTTTGGCATTGTTCCTCTAAATTTCCACACAAAATGGCTGTTGTGAAATGTCCATATGCATTTCGACTTCGCAGGCTCGCACAAAACGGGTGTCGCGGTATTAGCGCTTGGCATTTTCCTTATGCACAAAATTGCTCTTCTGACATGTCCATGTGCATTTCGCCAGCGCAGGCTCGCACAAAACGCTGGGCCCGGGCGACGCATCCGGCATTTTCCCGGTAAATTTCCATACAAAAGGGCTCTTGTGAGATCGCCCGTGGAACGCTCTCGTCACTTTGGGCCTGTCAGATCGCGCTCCCTGTGGCACGGTGCGAATTCTGAAATTGCTCGCGCAACCCTCTCGGCACTTTGGGCCCGTCAGATGGCTCTCGCTATGGCGCGGTGCTCATTTTGAGATGGCTCGCGCAACCCTCTCGTCACTTTGGGCCTGTCACATCGCTCTCGTTGCGGCGCGGTGCTAGTTGGATGGTCAAGGAGATCTTGCGCAGAGATCTTGACAAGGAGGTCTCTTATACAAAGCTTGCCCAGAGATCTTGTACAGAGATCTTAACAAGAGGTCTCTTACAAAGATCTTGTCAAAAAAGCTCTTATAGAGAGCTGTTGCAGAGATCCCTTCAAGAGTCTTGGCAAGAGACCTCTGATAGAGATCTTGTACAGAGATCTTGCCAGGACACCTCTTATGGAGATCTTGTACAGAGACATTGCGTAGAGATCTGTTGCAGAGATCTTGCCAAGAGGTCTCTTACATAAATCTTGCCAAGAGAGCTTTTACAGCGAGCTTGCACAGAGATCTCATAAAGAGATCTTGGCAAGAGATCTCTTGTAGAGATCTTGCCCAGAGGTCTTGCCAAGAGACCTTTTATAGAGACCTGTACAGCGATCTTGCCAAGAGGTCTCTTACAGAGATCTTGCCAACGGAGCTCTGATAGAGAGCTTGTACAGAGATCTTGCCAGGAGAGCTCTTTTTGAGATCTTGTACAGAGACCTTGTGCAGAGAGCACAGAGGCCTTGCTCGGAGATCCTTTATAGATAGCTTGAGCAGAGATCTCACTTCGAGCTCCCTTACAAAGATCTTCTATGGAGATCTCCTATAGACACCTTGTACAGATAGCCTTACACAGCAGCTTCTATAGAGAACCTCTCCAGGAGATCTCGCGCACGATCTTCTACAGAGGTCTTCACAAAGGGAACTTGCAGAATCTTACCTGATACCTCTCCTTCCAGAAACCACCTTGACTGAACACCATGCTTTCACTAATAGGGTTGCTCTTGTCCTGCTATCTTGCAGCCACTGATGTTTTTAGGTCCTTTGCACCTTTCCCTTTAGAATCCTAACTACACGCTGTTTGGGGTCTCTTGTCGGGATAATTGGGCAGCAACCAAATGGGCCAGCCAAGGCAACGAAACATGGAAAGATAAGCCGTAAAGATGAGGAGTTGACTAGCTACCAAACATATTTCAATGGTACTTGACCCGAATCCCCAGGTTTTCTTCGTTGAATCCCCCAATGTTGGTTGCATACTTCCCAGCATCACCAACTCACCTGCTTGCTGACTCAACCCCGAGGGAAATCCTCTGCTTCACTTGAAAACATCTTGAAACACGGCTGATGTTCCACGTCCAAGCACCTTTGGCAATAAAAAACACCTTGGTCGCTCCAAGATCCAGGTACGTTGCCAGTAAAACCTCGATCCAATCCACAGTTGGGTCTTTCTCAAACTTGGCCCTATCCCGAAACGAAACAAAAAACAAACAATCATGGTGCACATTGGTTCACCCTGTTTTTTTTCCTAGAAATGACAACCCGTGGCATGGCCCTTGCGGCAGCGGCACCAGGCATTCTCTGGTGGAGCAGCGCGTGGCCGCCGCGTCATTCCCCAAATCTGGCGCGCTGCAGAGCGCCAGAAGCTCCTGGTGGACGGTGGGAAGGAAGTTCGCCAGGACCGTTGGGGATGAACGGTGGGAAGGAAAAACTCCAACCACTGGATTTTTTATTAAAAAAAGGGTTGGGGGGGTGGTTCACCACAAAGTTTTAGGAGTTGTGAAGGAATTGAAGTTGCAAAAAACTGAGGGATTTTGAGACAGGAACCTCTGATTTGACTTACAAAATTGTGGAGTTGACCAGAAAAACACTGGATTTGATCTACAAAAAAGGTGTGTCCTGCCAAACTTGCCATGTCAGGGTTGCCGGCCCCAGTGCCCAGTGTTCCCTGACTTTGTTAAAGAACTTTCCCAATGAAGTGCTCTTTGGGATCGAGGAAGCCTGTTGGTATACCACCATAATCGTTGGCGGGGTGAAATCAGCGAAGATGCCGAAACACGTTCCCTGTTCTGGATTTTCTAAGAGAAACATGTGGTTCTCAAAATTGGGATCCCCAAGTTACCATTGTTGAATGTTGTTGACCTATACTATTTGATGGTTATCCATAACTTGGATGATTTGGGGTTCCCCCCATGACTTTGGAACTCCCCATGTGAAAAATGGCTGTGAGAATGGGTACAGCCCATTTTGATGGCCATTTGACGTACTCAAAACGCATGACCATGGGACAAACACGAATGAAGCATCGTCAAAAACCGGCGAATTTCTGCGAATTTCTGCTTGGTTCATAAATGGAGGTTTCCTGAGTCATAGGGCTAACCCCAGTCTTCATCCGTTTATCGATGGTATTTTCCATGACATAAACCATCCATTGCTCCCATTTTCACAACGGACCATCCCAAACATCTCGGGAACCCTATGGCTGTGTCTGAACATTCCAAAAAAAACACAAATAGCTTCGTGAATAGGGAAAAATGGGAAAATGAAGTTCTAATCCATTGGGTTTTGGATGGTTTTTGACCGGCATTTCAGACTTCAAGGCCCCTCCAACGAAGTCATCCCCAGGTACCTCCAACCGCTGTGCCGTCCTGCTGCATCCCCGGCTTCTTGAGGTTGAAGGCGCTGGTGCCGCCGTAGTTCGCCTTGTTCTCCGCGTTGCTGGCGCCCCACTCCTTGATCGGCTCCGCCTGGAGTTGTTGCTTTAGGGATGGAGGTTCTTTGGGGTCGATTTCATATTTTTTACGGTTTGTTGAGTGGTTGATGGGTGTGGATTTAGGGTTGCAGTCACTTTGCTCGAGGCAATCATCAACACGTATCAATTTTAATATGATCAACGATGGTTTTTGAAGGTTATTGCAGTTCATATTGGATGAGCCCAGCTGGAGCAGGGATGAATCGGACGTGTTGTGGGTCCCAACTTGCTACTGGTATGTCGTGTTGTCAAGCATCTGCATCTATCTGTATCTGGTTTGTTGCTCCCATGCAAGAGTAAGAAGTGCCTGGCTACAGGCCATCCAGGTTATGGGGAATATGACCCATCTCAAACTTTGATGCCCTGGGAGTCTCAGAAATTGTTCCATCTCAAATGTCAAAGAAATTCGGTCAGCTGTCCCGACCATGAGCTGTGGGGGTTAGGGGTGTTGCTCCGTACTTTTCTGGTTTGGGGTGGTTCGGGGCAGACGCGAAAAAGCGAAAAGTCGAAAAGTAGCTGTTGATTCTTAGGGGCGGAGCCCGAAAACCCGAAAAGTAGAAAAGCCGAAAAATCGAAAAGTCGAAAAGTAGACACTTTTCTCGAAAAGTTGAAAAGTAACCACTTTTCTCGAAAAGTAGCTACTTTTCTCGAAAAGTAGCCACTTGTCTTTCCAAATTGTTTCTCCACTGCGAAAACTGGAGAGCAGCTGCACTTGACTTTTGGTTCCTTGAACTGACGTTGCTGTCTAGGCCGAGTTTGCAGGACTTGTGGGTTCACATATCCTTTTGTGTACCATTTGGTATCACCGCAGGATCTGTCCCTGCTTTGGCAGGGGCATACACGGCATGTGATCCGGACTTCTTGATCCAAATTAGTCTATTAATCCTGCCTGGCCAAATTGTTTTAGAAACAGCATGTTTCTGAGAGGATCTTGGTAAAAATATGTATGCAGTTTGTATGCAGTTTTTAATACAGTTTCCAAAACTACATGTTACATGTACTTTATTTATATGCAGTTTTGATGAAACAACATGTAGTTTTTAAGTGCATAAAAAATAAACACATATAAACTGCATATGTAACATGTACTGATTTTTGATCATTTTCTGTTTAAATCAGTCCAATCTTTGGATCTAATTTCATCCAAGAAGAAAGATAACTACATTATATCAAGGATGCAAATTTGGCCCAAAATCTCAACATTCAAGGCGTTTTTGGCCAAACAAAGGTTCAACAGTAAATCAAAATTAAAAGTGTTTGGATGAAATACACTTGAGATGATCTGCATAGTGGGTGGTTTGACTCATCCCCTTCATGGGCTGCCAATTTATCTGAACTTACTTGGGAAAATTCATATAGTGATAGTGGATTTTTGCACTTATACACGTGTCAGCTATATCTTCGGTTGTTTCTTATCCTTTGGGCTTTGAAATTGCACAGCATTCAAATTTCAAAAAGGTTTCAGAACTAAACCCACAATAGGATTGAAGTTGCAGCGCTGGTGACAGTGAACATAGTTCTTGCTACAGAACCTCACAAACAACAATACTCAAATAGGTCTCAGGTAGACATGTTCATGTTTGTGGATTTCTCATATAGTAGATAAAACCTCCCAGGTAACAACATGTAAATAAGTCAGAGGTGACCCGTAACATGTTTGTGCTAGCGCCGCCATAGGCATCTTGGCCGGCAAACACAAATCACCTGAATATGAAAACCACAATTTACGCAGAGGTGAGCTGACACAAGTATACACCACTCAGGTAAATTGCAACCACACAAGAAAGTGAAACACAGAGGTGAATAGGCACAAGGTTACAACACATGTACATTGCAGGCGCGCAGACAAGCGAAAACGCAACGGTGATCGATACACAACATGTTCAGTGCATGCACACAAGCGCATGGAAAAACATCTCGCAAGTGTGCATGACACAAATGACTCGAAAAAGATTCTGCACATACATGTTGATCTGAACAATCAACATTTTCATGTGCTCATTTTACAATCACCACATGTTCATGGTGGAAAAACAAAATATGTTTTAAAAAATGTGTCTTTTTAATTTAAGGTTTTAAGTGAATAGAATTTAGGTTATAATTTAAAGAAAAAGCATTTATCCGCCGACCCCTGCCGTCAGCAGGGGGAGCGCGTCAGAGGAGGCTTTACTAGCAACAAGATGCCAGAAGGGGCGAAGAGTTTGTGCAGAACGAAAGCCGGCTCCAGAAGGACACGAGCAGGGTGGCAGTTGGCAGTGTAGAAACGCAGGAAAAGTCAAGGTTTGGAGCTAGTTTCTAGTCGGTTCAGAAAGTGACGTTTGGCAGTCTGGGATACGGGCCGCGGGCCCAATCCGTCCTTCACTGCCATGGTGTTTTAGCCCTGCGACACGGTCCTTGGACTCCAGCTTGGACCGAAGCGGTGCAGAACGAAGGCCGGCTCCAGGAGGACACGAGCAGGGTGGCAGTTGGCAGTGCAGAAACGCAGGAAAAGTCAAGGTTTGGAGCTAGTTTCTAGTCGGTTCAGAAAGTGACGTTTGGCAGTCTGGGATACGGGCCGTGGGCCCAATCCGTCCTTCACTGCATGGTGTTTTAGCCCTGCGACACGGTCCTTGGACTCCAGCTTGGACCGAAGCGGTGCAGAACGAAAGCCGGCTCCAGGAGGACACGAGCAGGGTGGCAGTTGCCAGTGCAGAAACGCAGGAAAAGTCAAGGTTTGGAGCTAGTTTCTAGTCGGTTCAGAAAGTGACGTTTGGCAGTCTGGGATACGGGCCGCGGGCCCAATCCGTCCTTCCCTGCCATGGTGTTTTAGCCCTGCGACACGGTCCTTGGACTCCAGCTTGGACCTAAGCGGTGCAGAACGAAAGCCGGCGCCAGGAGGACACGAGCAGGGTGGCAGTTGGCAGTGCAGAAACGCAGGTAAAGTCAAGGTTTGGAGCTAGTTTCTAATCGGTTCAGAAAGTAACGTTTGGCACTCTGGGCTACGGGCCGCAGAACGAAAGCCGGCTCCAGGAGGACACGAGCAGGGTGGCAGTTGGGAGTGCAGAAACGCAGGAAAAGTCAAGGTTTGGAGCTGGTTTCTAGTCGGTTCACAAAGTGACGTTTGGCAGTCTGGGATACGGGCCGCGGGCCCAATCCGTCCTTCACTGCCATGGTGTTTTAGCCCTGCGACACGGTCCTTGGACTCCAGCTTGGACCGAAGCGGTGCAGAACGAAAGCCGGCTCCAGGAGGACACGAGCAGGGTGGCAGTTGGCAGTGCAGAAACGCAGGAAAAGTCAAGGTTTGGAGCTAGTTTCTAGTTGGTTCAGAAAGTGACGTTTGGCAGTCTGGGATACGGGCCGCAGGCCCAATCCGTCCTTCACTGCCATGGTGTTTTAGCCCTGCGACACGGTCCTTGGACTCCAGCTTGGACCGAAGCGGTGAAGAACGAAAGCCGGCTCCAGGAGGACACGAGCAGGGTGGCAGTTGGCAGTGCAGAAACGCAGGAAAAGTCAAGGTTTGGAGCTAGTTTCTAGTCGGTTCAGAAAGTGGCGTTTGGCAGTCTGGGATACGGGCCGCGGGCCTAATCCGTCCTTCACTGCCATGGTGTTTTAGCCCTGCGACACGGTCCTTGGACTCCAGCTTAGACCGAAGCTCCAGGAGGACACGAGCAGGGTGGCAGTTGGCAGTGCAGAAACGCAGGTAAAGTCAAGGTTTGGAGCCGCAGAACGAAAGCCGGCTCCAGGAGGACACGAGAAGGGTGGCAGTTGGCAGTGCAGAAACGCAGGAAAAGTCAAGGTTTGGAGCTAGTTTCTAGTCGGTTCGGAAAGTGACGTTTGGCAGTCTAGGATACGGGCCGCGGGCCCAATCCGTCCTTCACTGCCATGGTGTTTTAGCCCTGCGACACGGTCCTTGGACTCCAGCGTGGACCGAAGCGGTGCAGAACGAAAGCCGGCTCCAGGAGGACACGAGCAGGGTGGCAGTTGGCAGTGCAGAAACGCAGGAAAAGTCAAGGTTTGGAGCTAGTTTCTAGTCGGTTCAGAAAGTGACGTTTGGCAGTCTGGGATACAGGCCGCGGGCCCAATCCGTCCTTCACTGCCATGGTGTTTTAGCCCGACACGGTCCTTGGACTCCAGCTTGGACCGAAGCGGTGCAGAACGAAGGCCGGCTCCAGGAGGACACGAGCAGGGTGGCAGTTGGCAGTGCAGAAACGCAAGAAAAGTCAAGGTTTGGAGCTAGTTCCTAGTCGGTTCAGAAAGTGACGTTTGGCAGTCTGGGATACTGGCCGCGGGCCCAATCCGTCCTTCACTGCCATGGTGTTTTAGCCCTGCGACACGGTCCTTGGACTCCAGCTTGGACCGAAGCGGTGCAGAACGAAAGCCGGCTCCAGGAGGGTGGCAGTTGGCAGTGCAGAAACGCAGGAAAAGTCAAGGTTTGGAGCTAGTTCCTAGTCGGTTCAGAAAGTGACGTTTGGCAGTCTGGGATACGGGCCGCGGGCCCAATCCGTCCTTCACTGCCATGGTGTTTTAGCCCTGCGACACGGTCCTTGGACTCCAGCTTGCACCGAAGCGGTGCAGAACGAAAGCCGCCGGCTCCAGGAGGACAGGAGCAGGGTGGCAGTTGGCAGTGCAGAAACGCAGGAAAAGTCAAGGTTTGGAGCTAGTTCCTAGTCGGTTCAGAAAGTGACGTTTGGCAGTCTGGGATACGGGCCGCGGGCCTAATCCGTCCTTCACTGCCATGGTGTTTTAGCCCTGCGACACGGTCCTTGGACTCCAGCTTAGACCGAAGCGGTGCAGAACGAAAGCCGGCGCCAGGAGGACACGAGCAGGGTGGCAGTTGGCAGTGCAGAAACGCAGGTAAAGTCAAGGTTTGGAGCCGCAGAACGAAAGCCGGCTCCAGGAGGACACGAGAAGGGTGGCAGTTGGCAGTGCAGAAACGCAGGAAAAGTCAAGGTTTGGAGCTAGTTTCTAGTCGGTTCAGAAAGTGACGTTTGGCAGTCTAGGATACGGGCCGCGGGCCCTATCCGTCCTTCACTGCCATGGTGTTTTAGCCCTGCGACACGGTCCTTGGACTCCAGCTTGGACCGAAGCGGTGCAGAACGAAAGCCGGCTCCAGGAGGGTGGCAGTTGGCAGTGCAGAAACGCAGGAAAAGTCAAGGTTTGGAGCTAGTTTCTAGTTGGTTCAGAAAGTGACGTTTGGCAGTCTGGGATACGGGCCGCGGGCCCAATCCGTCCTTCACTGCCATGGTGTTTTAGCCCTGCGACACGGTCCTTGGACTCCAGCTTGGACCGAAGCGGTGCAGAACGAAAGCCGGCTCCAGGAGGACACAAGCAGGGTGGCAGTTGGGAATGCAGAAACGCAGGAAAAGTCAAGGTTTGGAGCTAGTTTCTAGTCGGTTCAGAAAGTGACGTTTGGCAGTCTGGGATACGGGCCGCGGGCCCAATCCGTGCTTCTCTGCCATGGTGTTTTAGCCCTGCGACACGGTCCTTGGACTCCAGCTTGGACCGAAGCGGTGCAGAACGAAGGCCGGCTCCAGGAGGACACGAGCAGGGTGGCAGTTGGCAGTGCAGAAACGCAGGAAAAGTCAAGGTTTGGAGCTAGTTTCTAATCGGTTCAGAAAGTGACGTTTGGCAGTCTGGGATACGGGCCGCGGGCCCAATCCGTCCTTCACTGCCATGGTGTTTTAGCCCTGCGACACGGTCCTTGGACTCCAGCTTGGACCGAAGCGGTGCAGAACGAAAGCCGGCGCCAGGAGGACACGAGCAGGGTGGCAGTTGGCAGTGCAGAAACGCAGGTAAAGTCAAGGTTTGGAGCTAGTTTCTAGTCGGTTCAGAAAGTAACGTTTGGCACTCTGGGCTACGGGCCGCAGAACGAAAGCCGGCTCCAGGAGGACACGAGCAGGGTGGCAGTTGGCAATGCAGAAACGCAGGAAAAGTCAAGGTTTGGAGCTAGTTTCTAGTCGGTTCAGAAAGTGACGTTTGGCAGTCTGGGATACGGGCCGCGGGCCCAATCCGTCCTTCACTGCCATGGTGTTTTAAAGCCCTGCGACACGGTCCTTGGACTCCAGCTTGGATCGAAGCGGTGCAGAACGAAAGCCGGCTCCAGGAGGACACGAGCAGGGTGGCAGTTGGCAGTGCAGAAACGCAGGAAAAGTCAAGGTTTGGAGCTAGTTTCTAGTCGGTTCAGAAAGTGACGTTTGGCAGTCTGGGGTCCTTCACTGCCATGGTGTTTTAGCCCTGCGACACGGTCCTTGGACTCCAGCTTGGACCGAAGCGGTGCAGAACGAAAGCCGGCTCCAGGAGGACACGAGCAGGGTGGCAGTTGGCAGTGCAGAAACGCAGGAAAAGTCAAGGTTTGGAGCTAGTTTCTAGTCGGTTCAGAAAGTGACGTTTGGCAGTCTGGGATACGGGCCGCGGGCCCAATCCGTCCTTCACTGCCATGGTGTTTTAGCCCTGCGACACGGTCCTTGGACTCCAGCTTGGACCGAAGCGGTGCAGAACGAAAGCCGGCTCCAGGAGGACACGAGCAGGGTGGCAGTTGGCAGTGCAGAAACGCAGGAAAAGTCAAGGTTTGGAGCTAGCTAGTTCAGAAAGTGACGTTTGCTCCAGGAGGACACGAGCAGGGTGGCAGTTGGCAGTGCAGAAACGCAGGAAAAGTCAAGGTTTGGAGCTAGTTTCTAGTCGGTTCAGAAAGTGACGTTTGGCAGTCTGGGATACGGGCCGCGGGCCCAATCCGTCCTTCACTGCCATGGTGTTTTAGCCCTGCGACACGGTCCTTGGACTCCAGCTTGGACCGAAGCGGTGCAGAACGAAAGCCGGCTCCAGGAGGACACGAGCAGGGTGGCAGTTGGCAGTGCAGAAACGCAGGAAAAGTCAAGGTTTGGAGCTAGTTTCTAGTCGGTTCAGAAAGTGACGTTTGGCAGTCTGGGATACGGGCCGCGGGCCCAATCCGTCCTTCACTGCCATGGTGTTTTAGCCCTGCGACACGGTCCTTGGACTCCAGCTTGGACCGAAGCGGTGCAGAACGAAAGCCGGCTCCAGGAGGACACGAGCAGGGTGGCAGTTGGCAGTGCAGAAACGCAGGAAAAGTCAAGGTTTGGAGCTAGTTTCTAGTCGGTTCAGAAAGTGACGGCAGTCTGGGATACGGGCCGCGGGCCCAATCCATCCTTCACTGCCGTGGTGTTTTAGCCATGCGACACGGTCCTTGGACTCCAGCTTGGACCGAAGCGGTGCAGAACGAAAGCCGGCTCCAGGAGGACACGACAGGGTGGCAGTTGGCAGTGCAGAAACGCAGGAAAAGTCAAGGTTTGGAGCTAGTTTCTAGTCGGTTCAGAAAGTGACGTTTGGCAGTCTGGGATACGGGCCGCGGGCCCAATCCGTCCTTCACTGCCATGGTGTTTTAGCCCTGCGACACGGTCCTTGGACTCCAGCTTGGACCGAAGCGGTGCAGAACGAAAGCCGGCTCCAGGAGGACACGAGCAGGGTGGCAGTTGGCAGTGCAGAAACGCAGGAAAAGTCAAGGTTTGGAGCTAGTTTCTAGTCGGTTCAGAAAGTGACGTTTGGCAGTCTAGGATACGGGCCGCGGGCCCAATCCGTCCTTCACTGCCATGGTGTTTTAGCCCTGCGACACGGTCCTTGGACTCCAGCTTGGACCGAAGCGGTGCAGAACGAAAGCCGGCTCCAGGAGGACACGAGCAGGGTGGCAGTTGGCAGTGCAGTGTCGTCTCGGGTCTCTTTAGGGTGCCATTTAAAGTTTCATACTGCGGTTACGAACGGGGGCTTCGGGTATGGGTCTTAAGTGCTAGAGCAACCCTTTAGGTCCCCAAGACACCTGGCCAATGACGAAAGCTCCTATTTCTTGAGCCATGAAAAAGTGTCAGAGCACATAGTTGTGCGTGTCATCCTGCAGGGGTCCATGCTGCTTGCATGTGCACAGTGCCAAACGCACATACAAATGGTTTGTTTAGGTCAGTTTCTGGTTTCTTTAGGGTTCATTTCATGCTTACGACACAGAGGCAGGCATGACCCTCCAGTGTCCAGGGGTCGGCGGCAGAGGGCGTAGCCCTTTAATGTATGTATGTATGTATGTATGTAGGTAGGTAGGTAGGTCTGTAGGTCTGTAGGTCTGTAGGTCTGTAGGTCTGTAGGTCTGTAGGTCTGTAGGTCTGTAGGTCTGTAGGTCTGTAGGTCTGTAGGTCTGTAGGTCTGTAAGTCTGTAGGTCTGTAGGTCTGTAGGTCTGTAGGTCTGTAGGTCTGTAGGTCTGTAGGTCTGTAGGTCTGTAGGTCTGTAGGTTTGTAGGTCTGTAGGTCTGTAGGTCTGTAGGTCTGTAGGTCTGTAGGTCTGTAGGTCTGTAGGTCTGTAGGTCTGTAGGTATGTAGGTATGTAGGTATGTAGGTATGTAGGTATGTAGGTATGTAGGTATGGATGTAGGGATGTAGGGATGTAGGCATGTAGGCATGTAGGCATGTAGGCATGTAGGCATGTAGGCATGTAGGCATGCAGGCATGTAGGCATGTAGGCATGTAGGCCTGTAGGTGTGTATGTATGTATGTATGTATGTATGTATGTATGTATGTATGTAGGTAGGTAGGTAGGTAGGTAGGTAGGTAGGTAGGTATGTAGGTTTAGGATTTCCTATGATTTCTGTTTTCTGATGATTTCTCATGATTTCATGCGGTTTCTTACGGTTTCTTATGGCTCAAGCCCCAAAATCCAAGAGCTTCACAAGTTGATCTCGCAGACCGTTGCTGAACGGTATGGCGTACTGCCAAGCTCCTGGGCTTTGCCGACATGCCCCAAGGGCTGAGCAAAAGCTGATCATATCAGCCTGAAGATCTTCGTCGCAAAGCTCCTGCAGGAAAAATCGTCAGAGCGTTACATCTGCAGCCTGCCTTGTTTTCAATTGCGAAACTAAACAGAAGGTCAGGTGGAAGGTCAGGCTTTATGCGCAGTCCTGGAACAGAAACACCGCCTGCAACCATTGCCCAGCTTGGTCACAGGCACCCAGCACTGCATTGTATGCGAACAAATTGCCTGGCAATGGGATCTCCTCTCAAACCACTGAGTCCGATTGATGATCGAGCTGGACTGCTGGACAGGAGCATTCCACTGTAAGACTGAAATCTGAAATGACAGGCGAAGTAAATCCAATGACAAACAAATGGGAGTCTCGCACCGAGAGCGAGAGGGCAAGAGAGAGAGAGAGAGAGAGTCCGCGTCCTGCATATCTGCCAGCAACGGAAGTGCATGTTGCCAATGTCCGCGGCACGCAGCAATGCCAGATGTGAACACCAGTTTGAGACCTAGGCACTGTTGATCAACCTGATACAATCCCATCTTTGACTCACCATTTGCATCTTCACTTTGTGTTGTCTGTGCTCAGTTTTCAACCCGTGGTGTTTCCAGTGTTCAATCCTTGGACATGCCGAGAGGCTTGAGACACTTGCGTCGGACTTCACTTCATGCAAGAGCTGCAAGGCGATCTGCCACTGCGCAGTGTCTCCACATGCATTGATGGCTGCATTGTGGGCAAGAATATCCTCTCTTGCACAGTGGCCACCACAACATGGAAGAATGTCTCGAAAGGATTGGCCACAAGTGTGCACATGCGTGTGTATTTTCACAAGCCCATCCTTCCCATCCAGTTGTGAAAGCAGGACTAGACCAAACTGCCAGTAGGACGCAGCGCCACAGGCATCTATTGCTGCAGTGAAAGTAACTGCCTGTCAGAGTGTCGGGGTTGAAGTTCGTGACGCATTGAAAGGCATTGATGCACCACAAGTGCCATGCAGAATGGAGGCAAACTGTGAAATGGCAAGTCGTCACAGAATTCAAAGAAACTTCCAGGCCTCTGCTTGATGGCCTTCTTTGTAGAAACGGTCTATGAGTTGAAGTGTTGCTTCCCATTGCCCATCCCTGCAAGCGCTTGCCTTGATTCCCAAACTGTCAAGTGGAATCAAGTGGAACAGAAGTTTTGACTTGGGAATCGTGGGAATCGGAGATTCTGAAAGGTTCTGAGAAACTAATGGATTTCAAGCGGCAGCTTTGTAACCTAAACGGTATCTGCTCATACACAATAAACTATCAAAAAAGCTCAGAAGCCAGAAACCGAACGAGCCAGGAGCCAAAAGCCAAAAGCCAAATGAGCATGCAAAACTGCAGCAAATAGCAAGCAAATCAGAGATCAGAAGCCAGAAACCGAACGAGCCAGGAGCCAAAAGCCAAAAGCCAAATGAGCATGCAAATTGGCTCCAAACTGCAGCAAATAGCACGCAAATCAGAGATTTGGGCTCCAAAATGCAGCAAATACAAGCCAGAAGCCAGAAACCGAAGGAGCCAGAAGCCAAAAGCCAAAAGCCAGAAGCCAAAAAAAAATGCTGAAAAAAATAGCCCTCCAATACAAAGAGTCTTACCCCTGATCCTGGAAACTCACCAGCCATCGTTCTCAACTGACTGCGTGACTCGTGGGACTCAGAAAGGACTCACAGCGCAGCGTGTAAGTGTCTGATTTCAGGGCCAAGCAGCACATGCACCGAAAGTGATGGTGTCAGGAACTTGCTGCTGCACCTGGTTTGCACCAAGCCGCATAGGAGAACTATGTATACCGCATGCTCGTTCAGAGGATTGTGAGACAAAGTGAGGCAAATTAAGAAACATGAGCAAGATTGAACAGGTCAAAAGCAACAAATACGAACAAGGCACGCAAAGCTCTTCGAGCAATTGGAAGGCTTCTTGCCACTTTGCACCAAGTGCAGTTACAATGGAGTTGTAGCTGATAGTGGTGACCTGCCAGTGAAATTTTCATCATGAAAGTTTGGACTAAGCGAGGGGGGAAGTCTTGAAACCATTGGATAGGCTATTGGCTAGGGACCATTAGATATTGGCTTGAATGGCTACCACTATATAGAAGCTTCTGCAATGCCACATAGATTCCACACACTGACAAGGCCTGCATTGTATGAAAGGCTCCAGCCTCCAAGTTACTAGCTCTCAAGGCAGAGAACAGAAGCAACGCGTGCTGCCAGCGCTGGCTTTGTCCACAGGCAGTGATGGCCGCCGTGTATGTGACAGTGTCTCTTTCTTCTGCCGCGCTAAGTAACCACAGCGCCCCTTGCCACTGCCAATTTCTCCCACCTAGGAATCAGATGGGTCTGGGTTGGCGGAGATGCTACAAGTCTGCCAATGGCACAATGGCTTACAGACGCTAAAATATGCTGAAATGACTTCTCACTGTCTAGTCTGAGTTCCCCACAAGCAGCAATAGCATCGTTGAAGCTTCTCACTTTGACTTTCCCCTTCAGGTAACTGGCAGCTGAACACAAAGACAGTGCTTTTTCCCAAAGACTGCCCAGCGCACATGCACTAATTCCAACGCTGCATATCGCCATGTTGCCCACATTCCTGAGGCCAAAATCTTCAAAGTGTCCGAAAGTTAGACAAGACATCTGATGCAAAGCAAGAGCCCACTGCCCCACGAAAGTGCAAGCAGACATCACCACGCTCCGCGTGACCAGGGTTGGCTCCAAACCCAGACCAGCAGACAGCGCCAGGTGTTGCAAAGATGCCAAGGTACTTTCCCATAAGTCCATTCGCCCACATGCACTGAGAATGGTATTGAAAGCCAGAACATTCGTTTGAATATTCGAGCATTTCAAGTCCTCAAAGACGTCCAAACAACATGACCATGCAAACGCAGCATCGCAAGCAGACATTGCGGAGTTGCAGGAAACGACGTCACAAATAACACCCCTTGCCCTCGACTCTCTGAAAAAAAGCGCGGCCTTTAACCACAGAGAAGAGCACCCGAGTCTGTGAATAAGAGAAGTGCAACTAACTTCATCTGCCTTAATGTGTCTCGATTGCATAATACTAAAAAGATTGACCACCTCTTGCCACTGCTGGGCTTTTGCCAGAGCATTATAGGTCACCAAATTTGGTTCCAGATTAAGGTTGCGGACATTTTTCAGTATCTCAATGGCTTTATCCCATCTCGTGGCTTTGGTGCATGCGCTGACTGTGGCGGCCCCTTGCACATGATGGAGATGGTGTGCCTTCGCAGCCCAAAGTGTCAGACCATGCCACCAACTTAGGCTGCCAGCCTTCTCAGCCTTCTCACATCCACGTGATCCACGTGCTCCACGTGCTTCAGTTTCAGAGCTCCCCAGAGCACGCAGCGATACACGCCTATGGGTTTCGGTCCCATGCACAACTTGCATCGGAACCGGTGATCGCTTCAACCTCCAATCTTGAGCCATGGTAACAGCCTGGACGATAGCTACCCTGGTAGCAATGCCCGCTTGCAGTCACCACATGTAATGACACTATCACGCTTATCCATTAATATGATCAACTAAGGTTGAAAGTTGAAATCAAGAGTCACTCTTGAATTCCAATGGCATCAGATGGCATCATATGGCATCAGATGGCTAGAGAATCTCGAGGCCTCGGGCTGAAGGAATGCGAGGACTGAGTCATCTTTGCAGGCAGCCTGCGCAGCCCAAAGACCCACAAAAGCAAGGCCCAAAGCAGCACTCCTTCACCCAAAATGTCTCATCATTGGCTTTAAAATGGTACAACCCCGACACAACCAGCCAACTCGGGCAACACATTGAAAATGGATTTACTTGAGCGACTTTGGTGGTAACCTGGTTGCGACTCTTCGCGGGCTATCCCTTCATCCCTCCCAGCACCCAATCACCTCCATATTCTCAAGCTTCACCTTGGGTCACACAGTAGCAGACCGATGTCTCTGAGCACAGCGTCCCCTGAACTCCTGAAACTGGCACGAATAGTTTGTGACAATGTTCTCAAAGGCATTGGTGGATCATGCTCGTATCTGCGTTGTAGCTTCCAAGCCAAAGCATTTTCTAGATGCAGCGCTGTGTGCGGAGCTTAAACTGCCTAGTCAACACGAAAACTGCAGAGCTTCGAGGGTTTGTGGGGTTTCCTGGGTTTCCCGGCCAAACCTCCTTCCTTCACACAGCTCCTGACCCTTGGAGCAACGCATACTGCCATTGCAAGAACTCACATCCACTCTGGATTCACTGAATTTTTGTCTTCCAGCTTTCAGTGCTGAGACCATTTCACTTTCTCCATGCGCTCACTCAAGCTAAGGGATTCCTTCGCGTAGCTTCAGAGGCTGGTTTGGGGCATTTTGGATCATATAGGAATTGAGGTGCATGAATGCTGAATCAGAATCAAAAACAAAAAGACCAAAATAAATGAAAAAAGGATAACACGAAGAAGTGCGGTGTAATGCAGAGATTACAGAGAGCAGCTGCTAAAGGAAAAAAATGTGAAGTGGTGTAAAACAGTGTAAAAGCACAATCTGACCACGAGGAGGGTGCAACCAAGTTCTTTGCTCCTACCGTCCTCCAAGTGTTGCAAACGAAGTGCGTAAACAATCGGAGACAGAACCTCATTGTAGCAACACCAGCTTCCTTATGTCTTTAGGTTGCGGTTGTAGCAAGTTATAGGTTTCTGAGCATGTGTGTGTGTGTTTCAGTTCTCTCCACTGATAAACCACCCAAGTAAGATCCTTGCGTACTGGTCATCCAACAACAGCCTGGTCATGTTAAATTCTCAATGCAGGTGTCAAGGTACAGCTGGTACAGGAGATTTGAGCTGATTGGAAGTGATTGGCAGTGATTGGTGATTGGAGCTGAGCTCGGCCCCTGGCCATTCGTAGTTCACAAGCGTTGTGGGGCCTTCACTCTGCACATCTCTGCACAATCTCTGCACAATCTCTGCACAGGCAGCACTGGTGTGAAGACGGCCTCCTGGAGGGAAGTAGGTCACCAACTCCTGCGAACCGAACGTCACCGAACCGCCCACTCCAACGACTCCAACTTGATGCTAAACCTAAACCTATATATGATATAAGCACATATATATATATATAATTATATATATATATATAATTTATATAATTATATATATACGCATATACAAGCTTAGTGTGCTAAAATGTGCTGAAATGTGCTAAAAAGATCTAAAAAGTGCTATGACTGCTCTACCTGTGTGATAGGCCCGATAGGCATGGGGCAACTTAGTTACATTGAAAGATCTTGCAACAGTGCTTTCTGGGCCAAAAGTCCCGATGATGCAAAAGTATACAAAAGTATGTTTGAGCTTGGTTGAAGAATTCCCAGGCGTTCTTTTCTCTCTCGTCCGCTCGCAGCTTCGAGGGGATCCCTGACAGTCTCGTTGCCAGGTTCACTTTGCCAGGTCCACATTGCCACGTTGGCAGGCTCACATTGAGTTCAGTTTTGTCAGATCTTCGGGGTGAACTCAGACCTATCGGGACGACTTGGGACGCATGTGAGAGGTCTGACAGTCCAACATTGAGGATCGGCAGCATAGCAGCAGCAACGTTGTGCGGTTGCCAGTGTGGATCTACAACACGGTAGTCTTGATGGCGTCCTTGATGCTGACCATAGTGGCCTAAGCTGAAGGTTGCCTTTATCATCTGTGATTGATTTGACTGTCGCACAGCCAAGGCAAGGAACCGTTTCAAATTTCCCACCTTCTCCTTCACATTTGACCTCCGCACATGGCAAAATGGTGCTCAAAATTACGCTGCCTGCATCCATTCTCTGCCCGTAGCAAGTCAGGATATGCAAGGGCGAACCCTGCCTTTGCCGAAGCTGCAGCAAGCCCAAAATGCACAGCCTCCTTGAATGAGCAAGACTCAACCACCCATAGGTCCTTCTGGTTTCTTTCTTTCTCCGTTGTTTTTTCCGTTGTTTTGCCAGCCTTTGACTTGCCAAAAAAGACTGTGCATAAGTTTCAGAAAGAGCCCGAACCGAACGAGCCCCATCTAAAGAACTTCCGACTCGTCTCAACACTGCAACCCAGTCTTTGTTCCACATACTGTTGCAAGCAGCGCTCCTCAACGTCCTTGGCAATATCAGAGCACAAAGAAGCCATCAAAACGCCCGCCATTGTGTCACCTGCACCAATTGGATTGAAGCCTGGGTTCGAGCAAGGTGCGGCAACTTCTGATACGAGTTCCTGGCAAAATATCTGTCATAAAGACTTCAAACATCTTCAAACAGAATTCTCCCTCTTAAACATGCACGACGTCATTTATCATATGACCTATTCATACGAAGTCTGGACCCAGCTCTGAGTCTGCGACATTCCACTTCTGGGAGATCATAACGGATGCAGCGAATGTTGCCAGACCCTCGAGAGTAGAGGAATGCAGATTTTGCGCCATCCTTAAGCCAAAAAAAACATGGACAGTTAAAGCAGAGAACATATGAATTGATCACAATGGTGGGAAAACATGGGAAAACTGGGAAAATGAATCATTCCTTCAATTAGGCCTCATAAAGTGGCTAAGCAATATGGATCCATCGGTATATGTACATGCCATGACCCTGAAGGATCCTAAAGGTCTGTAGGTCCTGTAGGTGCAAGCAGCTTGAACAATTTCTGAACAATCCTTTTATGTTCTTATGATTCTTATGATTCTTATGGATTGCCTTTACCCATCTTAGGTCCGGCAGGTCAACATGGACAGGTGATGACAGGTGCAAACGCAGCTGAGCATCAGTGATCGCAAGATGGCTCAGCCCCCCAAAGCGCTCCAGCCTCTCAAGTATCATGTCTGAACGGTCTGAACATGTCTGCACTGTCTGCACCCAACCAAACGAAGAGTAACGTGCAGCATCTGTCAGCATGTAACATGAACCGATGTAGAAAGTTTCTCCCTTATTGTCTCTATTCCTAGTCTATACAGGTTGCTTCCATGCTATCACATGCTATTACTGTATGGAATCTAATATAGACTATACAGTATATGATGCATGATGTTGGTTACAATTTGGTGTGGTCTACTCACTCTAGTCTAGTGAGACCTGGCTGGCCAGGTGGCCAGACTGCATACAAGAAACGTGTTGTTCGCCGCTTCATTGATTTGCTCTGCGGAGATCTGTCCCTCCTTGCATTCAAAGCCCATCAGGGCACAAATCTCCATCGCATTGACCTGGCAGTAATGGACTTTATGTCTTGGAACACAGGAAGGTACAATGTTATACATATATATCATATACCTGGATCTTCACTTAGCACTTTTTCTGTTCATAGCAGTTTTCGCTTGGATTTACGCTCGTTCTGACATTTTATGCTCACTTGAACTAGAAAAAGCGCATTTATTTCTTGACGGACGGGCATTTACGTTGTTTTCCCGGATATTTAAGCTTATTTCCCGGAAAAATACGCTCATAATTTTGGCTTCAAAATGCACAAAGTGCAAAAATGCCAGAAGTGGTGGAATTTCGCTCATGTGGAGAAAAACCGCTCAAAAAGCAGAAATCTCTGAAATGAGCATTTCTTTGTGCTTTTTCGAGGATACAGGTATATATATATATATATATTTATTTATTTATATATATGTGTGTGTGTGTGTCAAGCATGTGAAAGACTGAACACGAATTGCGCTTTCGTAGCTCTATCCCATGTGCCATCCCTAGCAGAGAATTCGTCACGCCCATTCCACAAGAATGCGATGAGCCTTGTAGATATCAACGTCACCAGCGTCAAGGATATCAATCACATCCTCATGTCACTAAGACGTAGTTTCAACCCGCGAAAAAAGGAGAAGATGAGAAACATCGCTATGAAGCAGTGGGCCACATTTGCATACTGTATCCGTTGGGCATCTGAGCATCGTGTCCCCATCAATGAAAAATGTATCAACGTCTGAGTCTAAGTCTACACTGGGCTATCCTTTCAGTTTGATAGGCCCTATATGTAGGCACATGTGGGCAGTATGTCGGTGTCCCCTGGTGTCAGACGCCGTCAGAATAAGTCAGAACGCAGCCACCAATCTCCCACGACCCCAGACTGCATCCCACCGCATCCCACCGCATCCCACCGCATCCCACCGCATTCCCATTCACCTGCACAGGCTTGGCAACATCCAGAAGTACCCACGCTCCACGCGCTCCATCCGTTTTGGCTTTAGCAGCTTTAGCAGCTTTCAGATAGAAGTCTCGGCTGGTTCCGTTCCTGATGCGGTCTCTGCCAAATATAAGTTGCAAAGCTCAAATCCTTGTTTTTGCCGTGCACTCAGATAAAGGAAACGAAGTAGGGTGATTTGAATTACCAAAGCAACCAAGACTCGGCCAGGTCCCCATCAGAAGTATGCCTTTGAATGTTGGTGCTGCAGCCTCACAATTTCCGAAAGAGCTCCGGAACAAAAAGGCACGGCAAAACAGCCCAGCCTTTGATCTCTGCAGGCACAGGCACTTTGCAAAAGCACGGCTTGAAAAAAGTTACACATGTTATCATAAGTTCAAAGCTTTGCCTGTTGCACTGATTTGGTCAAGTTGCGACAATCTTTGCAAGCAGTTCATCTGCAGCGGCTGAGCTTACAGGTTCCGAAGGAGTGATAAGCTCCGAGATGGTTGGGAGGCCGGTTCTCGGATAATCCACCAAAGTCATAAACTGCCTGGTGGTTGCACCCGTCACCGTGATATCCTCGATTCCTTGTTGCATCTGCAGCTGACGAATCTGTTCTCCAGTGTAACCACCCAAGAACTGTGCCACAGTTACACGGCAGGGGCTTGCGCCGCTTGCACCAAATGCGGCGGATGCAAAAGCGCCAAAAGCGCATGCAGCTTTGGCAGCATTCTGGCCTTTTCCCCCCACGCCAAGCGTGTGAGCTTCTGCTCGGTTCACCTGCCAGATTAACTTCAACGGATGTCCAAGCTAGACCGCACCCCCAATTGGCAAACCATGGCAAACATCCAAAAGCATCCAAAAGCCACCCAGAAAGTACGTGACTGATTGCTCGATATTGCTCGATTGTCTTAGATGGCAGGGCTTTGAAAACAAATTACACATCTGTCCTGACCAAGATCAAGCACACGAAGCCGAAGGATGTGTTGCAGCCCAGGGTTCAAGCCCAACACGAGTACACCCGAAGGATTAGGCCCTTCCAGCTCCATTTGGTGCCATGTGCCAGCACCAGGGACCGCACGATAAGGAGCCACTGGAGCCAATGCGCTCCAAATGCACAAATGGATTGTGCGCCGGGAATTGAACTCAGCTGATTTGTTTAGACGCGATAGAAGCTTGAATTTTTGGACTTCTGACTGACCTCACTATTTGGCCTTTCAGCCTTGATAAATTAGCTGGCAAATTGCACGGCCATTGTCTTCAGCCAAAGTCAGTCGTAATCAAGTTGTAATCGCTCACAGCCGTCCTGGCAATGTTCCTTCTCCTTGTGAGGCAAGACCTGTCCAAAGCACTGTATAACGTTGGTCGGAAAAGAGTTGTCACATCATGATGTTCCATGATGGTACTTTAATGATTTTAAAATATTTATATAAAAGGTAGTGACAAGGCAATCATCATCTACCGCAAATGTTTACGAATGATGACTCACGGTTCTTGTACATCCAATCTATTCACAGGATTTTACAGGTGGTCTGAAGCCTGCATTGCCTGGTACGCGATCACATTTACAAATGACTTCAAATGCATGCATGCGCCTTCAGTTCCTGCTGATATTGCAATCTCTCTGCGGATCATGAGAATCATAGCTGCACTTGTCCAGTACACACGTGCAGCGGCTTGCCTCTCGCAAAGCTTTAAAGAACTTCTCCTTGCTGACTCGAGTTGACCTTTACTTTGGCAGACCCGATTTCCAAAACAAGAGCTAGGCCCAGCTAGGCCCAGCTTGGCCCAGCTAGGCCCAGCTAGGCTGTGGTGTATCAAACGGTTTGAGTCAATGACAGACCGCTGACAAATCTACCTTGACAACTGTGACTCCAACCCATCGCTCTCAAAATATGTGCGGAAAATCCTGGCCAGACACTCGAGACACTCAAGCTCCGCCATATGGCAAGTTTGACCACTTCAGGACAGAAACTCTGATATTTCTGATCAATGGCGGCCATCACTGACAGCCAAACATCAGATGTGATGCCTGAGAATCTCTGGGCACAAAGTCCGGTTGTCTCGAACCTGGCTTCGCGCAAACTCAAAATGACATCTATTTGTATCGCATCGGTAAGGTTTGAAGATAAACACGAATGTTATGCCAGTTATGCCAGTTATGCCAGTTGTGCCAGTTGTGCCAGTTGTGCCAGTTATGCTTTGTGTTTTCAGATATTTTCAGAGGCATCCCGGCAGCCAACAGATCCAACAAAAGCCCAGAGCACGACGAGGTCAGACACGTGGCCACGGAGAAGGAGCCTGGGAAACAGCACCAGGTGAACAGCTCAGGACAGCATAATACAAGGCACATAGAAATGTACAGGACAGGTAAACAATGGTAAACAATGTAAACAACAAGGAAACGTGTGAAATCATCGTAGCTGTAGCATGCTGTAGCTGGATGTCCACAGATGAAACTGGGAGAACAGAACATACATTTCCAGATTCATGGAGGTTTGTACCGGAATCCGGCGAAAACTGCTTTGGGAGTCCAATGAAGATATGAAGGCCTTCCAGCAGTAAATGATCTCAGCCACTTGAGGTCACTGGGGTCATGGCAGGAAGCTCAAGAAGTCCGGCTCTGCTGCGTACCGTCGCACACTGGCCAGAATATTGATCCCAAAGCATGATGCTTCTTCTCCAAGCTCCTGGTCCAACATATGACTCAGAGATCCAACCGAGCTTGGCTAAATACATGGTGACCTTGGGTGTTCCCTGGGTGGTTGGACCAAATTTGATAGGGAATGCTGGCCATGTGAGACCGAACAAACTTTCAGCAAGTCCGTCTACTGACTTGGTGGTTGTTTGATATGTTTGATGTTTTTCAGAAATCCTCACTCCCAGTCACAACTGCTCTAAGTACTCTTTTCACCTCACCGAGGGGAAGAATAAACAGCATCTGCAGACCAAAACCAGCCTGATTGAGAACCTCCATCATGGTCTCCAAATACGGTCTGCCAGCAATCCAAACACTCACACAAAACAACGGTGCTTCCATGTTGTCATGTTGTCATATGTTGTCTGGTAATGATTCCTCTATCATCCTCTGTCCATAGTCTCTGTATAGTTTCATAGGTCAAGCCCGCCCACCTGCTCAGCACATTGTCCTTGGCTTACGAAACTCATGGCACATCGAACGCATCGTAAATGAAAACCCCTCACTGCCAGTGCAGCCAGGCATCTCCCTCTCGCATCCGCATTTGTAGCACTCTCCTGGGATGTGCAAAGTGTGCTTCATTAAGCGAAGAGTTAGTGAAGCTTGGCGAGTCTGCTTTGTACATTCACTGCCCTTTACAATCACGGCACTCCGAGATCACTCCAGATTTCTCATGTCTCCATGTGACAGTCACATAGTGTGATTGGACTCGAAAGGATCTTTGACACCTTGGACATCCTTAGGCAACTTTGGGGGTCGGACTCCAGGAAGTCCAAGGTCTTTTTCCGACTGAAGCGTTGGTGCCGTACTTTCTCTTGATGCCTCCAGCAAGAACATCTAGCCTTCAAACTGTGCTTCCTGTATGGTCAGAAAATAAGGCACGATAGTTGAATGAATCTACAACAGGATTGAATTCATCTGGGCCTGGTGAAGAAAGATCTCTGTCAAGGATCTCGGACAGCATTTTGCTCATGTACACCATTGTACACCGGTATTATCCCCGTCGCCCTTCGCAGATCAAAGTTTGCGCCTCAATAGCATTGGAGTTGTGGCTTCCATATCAGGCGGAAGCCATTTCTCGTCCTCCTGGCGAGCTGCTGCAAGCTGTTTCAGTGCACTTCACTCGCGACTCGCATCGACTCGCTATCACTTACTTCACTTACTTTATGAGATCTTATGAGACTTGTATAGACTTGTCACATCGCATCACCAAATTGCACCTTGAAGCTATCGTTCTTGTCCACTCCTGTGAGATTGAGAGATTGAGAACGACGGGTGGGCCGTCTCGTCTGAGCAACAAAGCACATCTGAAAGTTCGGGTTCCCCTGCCTGCAGACCCAATGGCCTGCCAAACGTTTGCCATCACGTCACATGGAACGTCGTGTACGTCGTACTTCGTGTGTTCATTGACTCCTCATAATAAAAAATATTTAATGACATATAGCGCGAGTCATCGTAAAATCTGGAGGCTCCCCCAACACCCTCAGATGCTTCAATCTTTTTGTAGGTGTGGTCAGTCAGAACTTGACAAACACATGAGGATGGGGGTGAGACTTTCTGTAGCAGTTGTCCAGCTTCAAATTTCCCAACTTGCTAGTCACTGGCTATGAATCGAGAATTAGACAGAATGATTGTTGCAACAAATGGCGCAGGGGCCAACGCCCATCAAATTTCTGTATTTTTCTATGTACAGAGTCGGATGCCGAGCAAATCATACAGCCTCTTGCCAGTGCATCAGCAGAAATTGGGCCCCACTTTCGTCTCCACCACATTGGGCAATGTATCAGGGGGCATTGGTGGACAAGTCGGCTCAAAGGCCGCAAAAGGCATACACAATGGCACTGCTGTGATTCCATAGATTGGCGGATGCCGAACTCGTGGATGGACTGTCAGCTGAAATGTCATGGGGCAGCTTCCCATCTGCTGAGCAAGCAGCAGCTTCAGCCTGTCTTCTGCCAGCAAAGCTGCCAACGTCAGACGCTTCTGCAAGTAGAACAAGCCAAGGGCTACTATGCCAGTACCACAAAGAACCATGCATACTTCGATGATGTATAGACCAATCCATCTCTCCTCCAAGAAGAAAATGTCTACTATTGCCATGACCACAATGGCCAAAATGATGCACAGCTGTGCGCCATAGAGTATTAGTCTCATGGGATTGAGTTGAACTGATGCTGCAGCAAGACTTCGGAACTCTCCATCGATACGAGTCTTCAGAATTTGGTACTCTGCAAACGGCAGGTGCCCGTACAGCTCTTCAGGCATCTTTTCAGCCAATGCTCGTGGCACCCCAGGTGATGCAAATTGGTGCTCTATATGAAGATGAATTGCCATGGCGCCGGCTCTAAATGTGGCAATCTCAGTCTACCAGGTCTACCAGCACAACAGGTTGCAATAGTGAAACGATGCGGCATGTGTATATACTCTCTCGGACATTCGTCTCATAGTCACGCAAGCGTGTGAGACCGGTGCACACGCCGACGAGTATAATCATATGTATTTTTGCGTATGTATGTGTAATATGAGTATCTAGGTCTCTATATATATATACAAATATATATATACATATCTGTGTGTGTGTGTATCCGTGTGTGTTGGGGGGGAGAAATGTTATACCGTTATATGGTGTGTATGAAATTCGTACTCCATGCTGTGTAAGCTTGCATTTCGTGACTGAGAGGACTGCGGGCCCTGCAAAGGATGTCGATTTGTTTTTGATCAAGTCTTGCTGCAAGTCTTGCTGTTTGCTTCATGTCTGCGCAAGGGAAACGTTCCGGGAAAACATGTTCTTTCGAGGTCAATTTCCGGAAATGATACCAGGGCAACCCGTCGTCTGTGCATGAATAGGAAATTTGGAAATTGCGTGTCGTCGCATTCGCTTCGTGTCAAAAAGATCTTGCCTGCTCGTTCCATGCATCAGTTGCTGTGCTCGCTTCCTGTGGGGTCTTCAGCCTGCAAGCGCTTCAAGATGTTCACATGAGCTGTGTCAACATTGCACTGCGCTAGAGTTCATTCTCCATAGCTACAATGAGCTGTAGTCGCACCTGTCAGCAGCGCTGCCAGATGTTTCCACCACCTCAATGATGAAACAACAAGGCTCATCATCCATGCCTTTTTCCACGGGATACACTTCAACTGCTTTTAAGTCCTTTAGTTTGCACCTGCAGACTGTGGTGACCAAAACCTGCTCTGAATCCGGAACCTTTCGGGACAAGTTTCTTGCTCCAAGCCGCTTTTTCATGGTCAGAGTCGTTGAAAAGAAATCATTGGACATGAAATTCAGCTATTGCCACTGATCTATTGCCATGCTAAGGTTCTTGCAAGCGGAATGGTGAGTGTATGCCTCACAAGTGGGTTGAACATGGATATTCAAACATGTTCAAACCAAAACATGAAGAAACATGAACAATCTCCCTGAGGCGTAATTGCAAGTGTGGCCTTGCAAACTTCCCCAGCACACTTGACCTGAACACTCCAATGAATGACACTGTTCCTCACTCTTCAACATGAAACATCACACTTGAAGTCAGCAATGACTGTTGTTCCAGAATCGTTTCGCTCGAATCAAGAATTTAACTTGAAGCTTCGAAAGCGAGGCCAATTGCATGCTACCCTACCTTGAATCTGCACAATTGTTGAGCCCCAGAAATTGAAATGCGTGTATAAAAGAAGAAGAATGACGCAGGGGCCTTGCTGTAAAGTTTGTTACTCTGGTTGCGAGGACAAGCGGCTTTTGCGAGGCAGACTGCAAACCATAGGCAGCCAGCAAGGTCCTGATAAGGATCTCCCCGGTCAGGAGAAAAACACGTCACTGCATTGAGATCATTTTGCTGATTTTGTGGCCGGCCAGCAAGGCTGGCGCAAGAACAAGAAAGACAAGATCAAACCAAACATGTTTGCAGGAAAGCACCATGGGAACAGCTGGCAATGAGCTTGCAAGCCGCATCACTTGGCTACTTTTTTTAATGTCTTTCTTTCGTCTGATCGCATGGGAGGCCAAATTTAGGCCTGCGATCTGGGCCAGCAAAAGCCTAAGCACTGTGTGCACAGATTAGATGATGTCTGTGCTAGTTCTGCTGCTTTTATGATCTCGTTTAGATTCAACAGTCGAGCTGATTGGTTCAGGTGCGTTCCAAAGGAAAAGCAGTTGCCTCCTCCCCCAATGACGAGAAGGTACCCCGTGCCTTCCAACAAGACTGATGCCAAGTTGTGCCACATAAAGATCTCCGGCTCACCACCATCTTTCATTGCGTCACACTGGATGTCCAGAGGCTTTCCATAGGCACAAACAGGAGCAGGGCCATATCTTGCTTCTATGCCCCCAACCACGATGAAATGACCCAAATGTTCGTGTAAACTGTGGCCATACCTGGGCTGGGGCAAAGGAGACAAAGCCCGTCGCCATGCAAGTTTGAAGCAGCCATCAAACACGGCATGCAACGTCCATGCATCGCCCAAAATTTGCTCCTCGGCATCAAGGCCTCCACAAACCAAAACACCTCCAGACCCAAGTGCAGCTGCATGTGAGTGCCGAGGGGCCGGAAAACTACCATCCAATGCAGGTTCTACTGAGAAATGTTGCCAAGTCAAGGACTCAGTGTCCAAGAACCAGGCTTCCTCCAAGCTGAGGACAGTCTCCCCAATTCCGCCGAGGATCAGCAAACCAGGTCCTCCAATGTTGATCTTCGTAGCAGTGTGACGCCACCGGGCTGTTGGCCATGGATTGCTTTGAGGGACTTGCTTCACAACCGGAGAGTTTTCACAGCTTTCTGCAATTGTGCACATGGACAATGCTGCGGTAGGTCGTTGTGGAGCGAGTCGGCCGCCGAAGAAAAAGATCTGAGAGTCTACGACGGTAGATGTACAGTACATTGCAGAAGAATGCTCACCAACTTCTTGGAATATCTTGTCCTTGCATCTCAAGTTCCCATCAAATGGGGTCTCAAGTTTCAGGTGCATGATTGACTGTTGACGTCCATGGGGAGCATCAGATGCTGTGGTGTTGAAAGTTCCTTGCCCTCCACATATCACTAAATGCCCATTAGAGTACGAAGCCGCAAGGCCAAACCTTGGAATGCCCACTTCAGAGGCCGAAATGGATACAGACTTTCCAAGAGTGTGACTTGACTCGGAGTCTTCCCACTGTCGCTTCGCTCGGGTGCAGGTTCCAGACATGGCAGCGAGGCAAAAATAGTGCACACATTTCAAGTGAAACTCCTCAAATTCATCGAATGCTTCCAATTGAAAGGCTCGAGCGAGTTCGTCTCTTGGTGCTGCTGCAAGTATGGAAGTCATGTTTGCAGCATCCACACGGTCGAACGAGCGGAAGCGCGATCTTTGAGCCTCTAGGTCCGGAGCGAAAAGCAAGGCTCGCAAGGGACATTGGCGCTGAATGAAGTGCCTGCGCATGAATCTCCCGAAGGGATCATGTGGGCCGATTTGCTCGTAGACACCAAACAGGCAGTTTGGAAAAGACTTTGCGACCCATTCAATGAGTGCGTTGCCCTCTTTGTATTCCATGTATGCTAGAACCACTTCAGCAATCAAAAGGGTAGGCACTTGGAAATCAACACCTGCATGTTTCAGAGATGCTTCCACTTCAGCAGTGTCTCGCAAATCCGCTCCACAGCTGTGCAACCAGTCAGGTCTCAGGACCTGCGCCTGCCGCAGCAGAGCTGCTTTTCGGGACAGCACCGCTGGAAAGTCGACTTCAAAGTAACCACGAAGTCCTTGAGGCCAGCCACGCCTCAAAGCACCGGTGTCAAAGCCAGCCCCTAAAACCACCACGTTGTAAGGATCTCCTGGAGAGATACAACTGCGAAGAAATGTCTCCTGCATCTGGAAGACTCCCAAGTGACGAACATAGTAACATCTATGCACCAACGGCGACCTTCGAATGAGGCGTCCTTTGGGCCCACGCACTGCCACATGACCAACAAAAGCATCCTCAAAGTATCCTGCAGCTGCTGTGCTTGCCTTACTCACAATGGAGCTGTCATTTGTTGCCTGAACAGTTGCATCCGCTCCAGAATAGTCTGCCATGAGCGCTCGGCGAACACAGCGAACACAAGAGTTACACGGGCATTCTGTTACTGTTTGGTGGAAAATGACAAATTGGACAAATTGTCTCTTAGTACAGTACTCTCAAGAAATCACTGTATATGTGTATGTATGTATATATATATATCATAATGGGACTTGCAAAACTCTGAGTGCTCTGGGCACACGCTTTCTACAGCCCTGTTTTAATGTCATGACTCCTTCATGAGGGCTCTCTGTGGGCACGTTTGATTCTGCTGATTGTATCAGTATGAGATTTCTAAGCCAAAATCTGGATTCATGTCAAAAGTCAAAATGCGCACCAGAGTCTGTCAGCCTTCCTGGCACTGACGCGTATCCAATCCTCTGGAAGCATCACATGGCTAAAATATGCTAAAATATCTCAAATGCTGTTGGGAAGGCCAACCTATGTATCCATAGTCCTCTTTGGTTTGTCCAAAGTGGCTCTGTTCTCCGACCACATGGCAGCAAACTCCTCGAAGAGTACATTATCCGCACCACCAGGTCCTCCACAGCGACTGTTGGAGGACCCCCCCTCTCTCTCGTGCGGTCTTTTCAATCAGAAATCCTTTGGAAACTTTATGAAACTTTGATATCTTTACATATCTATATATCTTTGATGTCGTCTGACGCAGAATGCGCCTGCAGCAGTTCGCCCTGCTGCATGGATCGGAGGCTTTCTGGGTCCAGTAGCCCTCCGCACATCTCAGCACTACACGCTCGGCACCTTGAAGATCCTTGAAGATCTTGCATCTCATCACTACTTTATGCCACTTTAAGACACAGCGATGCGGAGCGCGCCTCT